TATTCATCAGTTTTTATAATAATGCATATAAGGTAGATATTGCTGTATTTTCATAAATGAGAACATTGAGGTCTAGATAAACTAAATGACTCACCAGCAGCTAGTCATACAGCTAGTGAGTGGCTCAGCCAAGGTTGTCCCCGAGGTCTGACCCCCAGTGCCTCCTGGTCATCACCGATTTTGCAGTCATCCAGGCCTGCACTGCCAACCACAGCCGTGGTTACAGCTGTCCCGGTGGGGGATTCATGCTTTCTGAGAGTCTGCATTCTCTGACAGCAAATTAAATGTAAAATATTGTTTATTCCACAATCTGTGTTTAGCTTTATGTTTTCTAAAATAATATTCTAGGCATTTCATTTTTATGGTACTGTGGTTTTTGTTTTTTCAGTCCAGTTTATGGCATTTTAAGGGTTGGAAGTTTGGCTTGTTCCTGACTTGTGTCTGTTTTTCAAAACGAGAATAGTACTGACAATCAGATTGCAGTTAGTGGGTAATTTATTTTAAATTTTCTTGAACGTCTAACATTCACATTCCATCCCATTTGAAAAATGTATATATGCTTGTTGTTTCTATGCATGTATTCTCTGGTAATTAGCTTTTTAATAGGTAATATCTCCAATTGGCTTTAAACTTAAGCAGGTAGAAAATAACACTTGCTCAGTAGAACTGGTAGCACCCACTGCGTACCAGGTGCTTATTCTGCTAAGCATTTTTAATTGTATGAATTTAATGCTCCCCACAGCGATGCAATAGCTACTGCTGTTATCTCCATTTTACAAATGAGTGAGCTTCATGAAGCAAGAGAGGTATCGCGTATCAAGCTGGTCTGGGTTTTGTCATTTGTCCAGTCAAGTGTCACTGCCTCTGGGAAGCCTCCTATGGACACAGCTCTCTCCTCTCTGGGCTGGATTCGGTGCTTCCCCTTTAGCAGTGGTTCTCAATCTTCCTAATGCCGTGACCCTGTAATACAGTTCCTCATGTTGTGGTGACCCCCAACCATAAAATTATTTTCATTGCTACTTCATAACTGTAATTTTGCTACTGTTATGAATCGTAATGTAAATATCTGATATGCAGGATGTATTTTCATTGTTACAAATTGAACATAATTAAAGCATAGTGATTAATCACAAAAACAATATGTAATTATATATGTGTTTTCCGATGGTCTTAGGCCACGCGCCCCCTGTGAAAGGGTCGTTCAGCCCCCAAAGGGGTCGAGACCCACAGGTTGTGAACCGCTGCCCTACAGGCTTCTATGCACTTTTCTTTCAGTGCCTTATTGCAGTTCCCCCTCATTCTCGCCTTAGACCGAATCTTCTCCAAGGCGGGTACCCTGTCTTAGGCTTTGGGGCTGACCCAGGACTTAGCACACTTCCGGGCACTTGCTAAGTCCTTCATACACGCTGTTTTGCCAGGACAAATTTTCCCATTTTACAAAAGGGTATATCTGCTCTGCCTTCTTCATAGAATCTTCAAGAAAGCAAATGAGAGTTCACATCTGTCTGTCAGACTCAGAGCACTACACACACATAGCTACGAAACTGATGATGGAGTGCTCTGCCTATGCTCAATGAAGACTGATGCTTTCAAGCCTCTAGATACCAGCACAGGGGTTGGCACCCAGGACAAATAGGTTCTTGATAAAATCCAATGTGTCACTGAGTTCTGACTAGCCTCTTTTTACCCATTCCTCCTAATGATTTCTAATAATTTTTGTATGATTTGATCTTGTGCTTTTTTTTTTCCTGTACAGAAAAAAGAGAGAAGTGTTTATATCCTGATATGTAAATATTGCAGACTCATACTATCTTGATCCCACCACTGGTTCTGCTCTCTATTTCAGTGTTTCTCAGTATTGGCGACGTGAAAATCACAGGCTTGTAGTTTTGCTTTGCTTTTTTAAAATTATTATTTTTAAATATATTTTTAATTGATTTTAGAGAAGAAGGGAGAGGGGGAGAGAGAGAGGGAGAATCATTGATCGGCTCCTGCCTGCACACCCCACACTGGGGATCGAGCCTGCAACCCAGGCATGTGCCCTGACCAGGAATCGAACCGTGACCTCCTGGTTCATTGACTAATGCTTAACCACTGAGCACACCAGTCTGGAATTTTCTTTGTTTTTTAATGGAAGATTCTCAGGCTCTGCTTTCCAACTCATGGAATCAGAATCTCAGGTGGGAGGCAGACATCTACAAGGTTAAATTAGATGAGCATCAAGGAATGAGATCTATTCTAAATATGTTCTAAATACTGTTGAAAAGATGGCTTAATGTCACCACAGATATTTTTAATGAGAAACGCAGTTGTTTCTTATTTAACGGCTCTCGAGAGCACTGACATTTATCTTGTTCCTCTGCGGTACATTTCACAGTCCATTTGTGCTGGCGAGTTCAGTGGGTCCTCTAATTACTCCAAACCATGTGGCCGTAGCAAGCGGCTGATAAATGGGTTGTAAATTTTTTTCCAGGCTAAAAAATCATCTTTGCCTTGCTCAGAAGTTTGGGGCCTTGAGCCGATCCTTACGTATTTTGTTTTTAGCAGAACTTTCAGCATTGTGAGTAGACATTTCATGACTTGCTTGTAGAAAGGAAGGGCATCTATTTAGGCTGGAGCCTTGAAGAGGCCCATCCGTTTCCATAAAGGTTGTCAGTCTTCCCATCTGCTGGTCTGATGGCTGAATGTGCACTCTGCTCTTAGTAACCCACGGTGCCTGCAGGCCAGACCCCCCCTCAGAAAACACAACGCACAGCGATCTGATAGCCAGCTCTTGTCAAATGCTTCATTACTCACAACTGTTGGAAGGACATGCAGTTTAACGATTGTATTCTAGAGTTATCCCTGTATCAAGCTGAGCCATCATAAACCCTTTAGAAAAATATCTTCTCTTCTTACTGCCCCTACTTTATTTCCTCATTTTTAAAAGAGAGCTGAGTTTCCAATCTCTTGCATTGGGGTTTCTCAAACAGTTGCATTATCCCAGCCGGTCCCTTGCTATGGATAATTGAGAATTTGCTTTTAATTTAATTAGTAAGTATAGCACTGAACCAATATGTTGAAACATTGATATGGAGCAAGTTGCGAAAGTTCGATCCCCTTTCTCTGTCTATATAGGTCACGTTAAACACTAATTTTTGTTAAGTGGGCTTATTATAAAAAGTAGAAGTATACCACATTCTTCTAATTATTTTACAACACTTGGCATATCTCTACATCTTTTATATTATCAACTCAATTTTTAGCTTGTTTCTCCTAGCAAAAGGAGCCATTTGTTCTTTCATCAGAAAAAAAGTTTTAATTGATGATTTATTTTATGAGTCATTTTCTGACTAAAAACTTTTTAAGTTAAAAAACATAAGCCAAAGAACTTACATGCATATAGCCATAACCCATGGAAAGACAATAGTGGGGTGAAGGCCAGGGGAGGGGGTGTGAGAAGGGTGGAGGGGGTCAATGGGGAAAAAAAGGGGAAATCTGTAATACATTCAACAATAAAGACAAATTTTTAAAAAATTAAAAAATGAGACTTTCTGCAATTTGTGATGGAAAGTCTGGATACCTTTGCAAGCGGGGGGAAGATCTGTTATTTTATTTCACTTATTTTATGTCAGGAATGCATTCGTATCAAACTCCTGAAGGACAACTCAGTCGCAGGGATTTATTTGTTTTAACAGATCTCTTGGTGGAGGCAGTGGAGAGCGGAGGCTACCAGGGAAGAGGGTTCTTTCTGTTTGTTAACTCACTCTGACTCCTTAGCGTCCAGGAAATCTGTCCTCGGGCTCAGGCTAAAGTGGCTTCTGTGTGTTTGGATGTTATTTCCCAGGAAGATGGAAAGGCAAGCTTTTCCCTCCACCTTCCTGCCCCAAACCAGGAATTATGTATATTTTATTGACTAGAACTGTGAGATATGTCCCCTCCCACCTGCAAGCAAAATGGGAAACGAGTGCTTTTACTGTTGACCCGTGTAGCAGGAGGGACCAAGGGAAGAAGGCCCACGCATTGTTACTTTCACAGTCTCTGCCGGAAGTGCCCTTATCGGAAGTGAGCCAGTGTTTTTTTGCAGTTGCCTTTATTATGGCTCCTTTTCCCAGCCATAATTTAATTTAGGAATTCAATTCACAGCTATTCTGCATCTGTTCACATAGATACTTTATTTTCTCAAGGTACAGATTAATTATATTTTTAACGTGTTGAGCTTATTTATTTGATACATTCCCAAGCCCTTCTGACTAGACAATATATTGCAACCTTTAATGTTTTTAAAATGCAGACTTGTGTAGCTTTTTGAACAATTTCTAATCCTGGTGAGACATACCAAGCATAGTGGCCATAGGTGTTGAACAAAAGGCAGTTTTCAAACCAAAATAGCAATGGAAGAGCTTCTTCAGAATCTGACTGAAGAAAGAGGAATGTAATAAAATGTTGGAAATGAGATAAAATTGTAAAATAAGTAACGCATATGTTTGAGAGTAAATGAGAAACAATATGACAGAACAGAGGTGACATACAGTAGCACAAAGGAAGAGCAAAGAGATGGCTTGGGTTTCAGCCTCTTTCTACCACGGACAACTAACTGCATTTTCCATGTAACTATCTTTCTGTGCCTTGATCTCCCTTTTTAATATAAATAGCAATTATAGCAACCTTACAGTGTCATTTGGCTCCCCCACCTAGAAAACAGCTGGGTACTTGGTAATAAAGCCAGGTGTGTGTAGCTCAAAAATCTATGTCCTACTCAACTGATGTTTCATGTGAAAGAAACCCATACTTGACTAATAGCCAATTGTCAAGCTTAGAAGGGACCTTGTTATCATGTACTGAAAGTGACTACCTAAAATAAAACTATTCAATGCATTTTTAATGAATTGTTTAATTCCATTCATATGTCTGCAGTCAAATTTAGTAAGATGTATTGGGTTTTCATTTGAGAATGTAATTGTACTTTTGAAATTCATATTTTTGTTTTAATCATTTTTTTATATTTTTCTTCAAACTAGGATTTTAAGGGTGGATTTGGTATTACCATAATCCCGATGAATGTAGCCAATGTAAAGCAAGTGGACCGGACTATGAAACAATCTTTTGAGATAATCACGCCCTATAAGAGTTTTAGGTAAGCTGTACTTAAACATTTTGTGCCTGTACTACTGCGAGACAGCTTTGGGGAGCCACTTCACATTGCTAGTGGCAATTTTATTTCTTGCAGGACATTTAATAAAACAATGTTTTTACTTTGCATTCTGTTTAATTTCTTAGCCAGTCTCTGTAAGCACCTGTGAAAGTGATTTGAATAATCATAAGACCTGCAGATACTAATTTCATGAAATTTGAGTTGTTTCTTTTCTTAAAACATCTTTGCCTTAGTGGACTTAGTATGTTACATTTTTGTTATCAACAAATATATGAAAACGTACTTCACATTTTGAAGGAATAAAGTAAAAGGGGAATATTACTTTGTCTTTAGACTGTGTTGTTGTTTACCTTCTTTTAGCCTAATCAAGTATAGTCCCTCCTTTAAGATCAGCCCCTAATTATAAATGCTCTGTAATGATTTACTAAAAGGAGCTCCAGTTTAAAATGATGCTGGATTTATTGGATCTCCTAGCATTTACTGATCAAATATTTTAGTGCTTTGTTATATATCTTGTATTATGGTATTCTAGTAATTATTCATTATCACAGTGAAACACAAAACTCAATATATGTTCTTCATATGTGTCAGAATACTCCATAATGACTCCCTAGCTTTAGTGCACAGAAGAGGCCTAAGTCAGTATCTGCTGAGTGCAACCACATTAATTCATTTGTCACAAATAATCAACATACCACAGGGTAGTATAAATGTCATAGGCAATTGTCAGAGTTCTTTAAGGACTAGCAATTACTTACCAATTTTAAAACTACTACCAAGTCTAGTACTCAATTTATCTGTCAAAATATGTCTGCTGACTCAAATTTTAGCAACAATCAAAAGACGTAAGGAATAATAAGCTTTATTTTCACGTATGCAGATTCATGCTTCCGCTGAAAATGTAGACATTGACTGAATTGTTTTTACTCACAACACTCTGACACCAAATCTGTGGGGTTTTCCTCTTACCAATCAATTCTCCAACTCTCTGGACTCCAATCGTGTGTTCTACAATTCAGTTCTATTCTGCCATACCAGATTGAGCATCAGACCCCACAGGCTTATGGCTCAGTCCCACAAGACTGTCCTCCAGATACCAGTTGCAAGTATTGGGCCCCTGGGTACCCACACTTCTGTGCACATTGACTATAAAATGGGGTTTCCCCTGACTCCCTTTCCCCCAGGTTTGATAAACTGCTAGCATTGTTCACAGAACTCAGGGAAACAGTTTAATTACTATTACCAGTTCATTATAAGGAATACAACCCTGGAAAGGCCAGATGGGTGAGCTGCATAGGGCAGGCACAAGGGATTAGTGGTGCAGAGCTTCTATGCCCTCTCTGGATGTACCACCCTCCTCAGAACCTTGTTGTTTAGGGGATTTTATGGAGGTTTCATTCCAAAGGTATGAGTGATCAAATCTTTGGCCATTGGTGATTAACTCAATCGCAAGTCCTTCCTCCTTCCCAGAGGTCAGGGGGTGGGGCTGGTTGAAAGTTCCAGAGCTAATCAAACATTGGTATTTCTGGTGTCCAGCTCCAATCTAGACTCCCAGCCACAAGTGATCATATTAGCATATAAAAGACACTTTTATCATTCCAATGGTTTTAGAGCTATATACCAGTAAAGACCAAATATCTGTTTTCCATAGAACCATATTGGCTGTGACCAATCTCTATATAGAAAGAGAAACCACTAAGAAATGTATAACTATTATAGTGATGAGGGTATCATAAAGAACGTCAACAAAAAATCCACATAGGCCACTCAGTTTTTTTCCCGATTGTGTAACTTATGCTAGTCGTCTATATTTTCATTGTATTTCAAAGCATTTTTTTCTTCAGAACAGAAAATTGTAATGCAAAGCATTGTTCTGTGGGTGATTGAGTATGGCACATTTCTGGGCACACGATAGGTACTCAGTAAATATTTCTTAAAGGAGTTTAAGAAACTGATCTTTAATGTTTTTATTCGTTTACTGAGGCACCCAACAAACACTAAGATTTAGAATAAATCAAAACATGGCTAAAAATGAGTTAGAATTCTGTTGAATAGTAATCACTAAAACTTTTGATTTCTCATTTTCTTAAAGCCATCTGTACATTCTTTGAATGACAAAATAATCTATTTTTAGTACTAAAAAATTTAAACTTTCTGGTGGGTATTTTTGTAGTTTAGTTTCAGACTACACTGGCATTCTTTCTTGGGGAAGTAACCCTATAGATCTGAAACTCTGGCAGTCTTATGTTGATTATTATACAACCACCACTTAGGAAACAGGGCCTCTCATTTAATCTCTTGACCTAAAAGGGCAATTTTTATATCCTGGTCAGAAAAATATACATGTTAATTTTGCTTCAAGATACATAAACGAAGTCATAAGCAATGTGAAAAATTAAAAAAAATAAATAGATTTCTAAATTAGATGATTGACAGAAGAGACTATCCAACTGCCTGGAAGGCATATTTTTCAGCTGCTGTGTAATGTGTGAGTGAAATGAATATGCAAACCGAACATACCGCTTAATTGGCCTTTACCAGGGAGATCAATAATGCAGAAACGTTAATTGTTTCAGCTTTGTAGCCGAGTCTGAAAAGGAGAAACAAGAGTGGATTGAAGCTGTGCAGCAATCGATAGCAGAAACTCTCTCTGATTATGAAGTAGCTGAGAAGATTTGGTTCAATGAGTCCAACAGGAGCTGTGCAGATTGCAAAGCCCCGGATCCGGACTGGGCATCCATCAATCTCTGCGTCGTCATCTGCAAGAAGTGTGCAGGTAATTAGTGATAAGTTATGCTCATCACTGTCTGGTGGCAGGTTGCACTGAAGGCTCTTTATTGTCATATATAATGTGTCCCGGCTAATGGTTGTGGAAAATAAAAACAGAAAGCTTATTACATTTAAATCAATTTTAGAAATGCAATTCTAAGTTTCTCTTATGCATGGCTTAGGTATCAAAATTGATTTTTAAGCATGTAATCATTTTTTTGTGCCTACTGGTCCATGTATGGATTGTAAAAAGAGAGCGTCGACATTTTTAGATTTTAGGTGAATGTGTTCCAGAACACACGCTGAACACACTTGCTCTTTGTATGATTTGTCCTTTTTCCTTCGGTCATCTTTTATCAATCCTGTTTTTCACATCAACGTTGTTCAGAGCTCTAAACTGGGTATACCAGGTCTGGTACCTATTCTAGGGGGAATTTTTATACAGAAGCATTTTCCAAGTGTAGTGAGAGTTATGAAAGTAACCAGTGCCATGACCGGTATTCCTGTTGTGGCCTTACACCCTACAGACTGTCTACTAGTTCACTGCATTGGGAGCTCAGACAGTTGTCCAAGTGAGTGCAGGCAGTGGACCCCAGCTTAGGTGTGAAACCATGGAGATCTTGGAGAAAGTTAGCCCCAACCCAAACTTTAATGCATCTTTTTGCTCTCCCAGGTACTGTGCTGGCCTAGGAATTAAAAAGATGTAGAAGGCATGGGCTTTCCTGCAGCAGCAGATCAATAGTGATTATAATAGAGGAGGATGAGGGCAAGAGTAGAGTACAGGTCTCATTGAGTGACATGGAGGAGAAGCACCTAATTCAGTTGGAGCCAAGATAAGAACAGTTGCTTTAAACTCTTTTTTTTTATTAAAATATTTTCTTTAATATATTTTATTGATTTTTTACAGAGAGGAAGGGAAAAGGATAGAGAGTTAGAAACATTGATGAGAGAGAAACATCGATCAGCTGCCTCCTGCACACTCCCTACTGGGGATGTGCCCACAACCAAGGTACATGCCCTTGACTGGAATCGAACCTGGAACCCTTCAGTCCTTAGGCCGACGCTCTATCCACTGAGCCAAACCAGTCAGGGCTGCTTTAAACTCTTAATACTCTCAGTGCTACCACATTTCTCATCACCACAGGATAGATTTCCCATACAGCTAATTAACAACATCAATAGCAGCAACAAAGAGCATCCATTAATCCCCCTCTACTTTGCAGATGTTCCTTTCCAGTCTCAGGAAGACATAGCCTTTGTGTTGTCCAAGGCTGTTCTTTCTACCTATGCTCCCTTTCTTTCCTTTCTTCTCACTCTCTATGTAGCTGTTCAACTATGGTTCCTTTTGTTTCAGTATATAAACCAGCCTTAGTCTGTCCTGTTAACACCAGCTTCCTGAAAATGTAACCATTCCCTTCTGTGTACCAATCTGTGTCCCTTTTTTCTTTAATAGACAAATGCTTTCAAGAGTAGTCATCTGCAAGGGCTTTCTTCATATCCTTAACTTTCTAGTTTTTCTTTAGCATCTCTAATCAGTCTTCTTTTCTCTCTACTCTAGTAAAATTATTCTCCCCACATTTACCAATGTATTCTACCTCTCCATGTCTGTGTGGTCAGCTCCAGTCTTTATTGTCTTCTGCGATATTTAACAATCTGACGCTTTAAGACTTCCCATCCTCCCTCAGCTTCCAGGAGACCATTTCCTCGTGTGCTCTTTCTACTCTGCTCATCCTTTCTCGGGCTGCTTTTCCTCTGCCTGCTCCTGAAATAGGTGTTTCCCTGGGGTTTCATGCTCTGCTGTCTCCCACTGGATGTTCCTGAGGGGCGATTTTTATCATTGGAATTCAGCACTCATTTTTATGCAGATGACTGTTAGAAACCAACACTCTTATATCTACCTACTAGAACCTCTTCTTAGATTTGCCCAAGATCCCTCAAAAAATAACATGTTAAAAATGGAGCTCTCATTGGTGGCCAGCTCATTACATAAAACTGCACTTTCTCCTGTATTCCACATCCTGGTCGGAACAGTCCTGCCCAGCTACAGTAAAGCTTAAAATCCCAGAGATCCTCCTGACCCTTCCCCTGTCCTCGCAGGACACCGGGTCCCATCAGTTTCATCTTTGCAGTGTTTCTAAATCTGCCCTCCTCTTTGTTTCTCTTTCTGTTGCCTTAACTCAGATTCTGTCATTTCTAGTCTAGGCTACTCTGTCCAGTTCTTCCTACTTGGTTCTCAGTTTGACCCCAATTGCTTTTAGGCGTTCTTTATAAATGCAAACCTGTGCAAATTCCTGCCCTGGGAGTTCTAGGGCTTTGTGTTATGAGTAGTTTCCATCTCAAAGACCAAAGGAGAGGAACCTTTTTAAGGTAGAGAGAGGAACTTTTTCATGCTTTAAGGAAGAAAATTCTTAAGATCAAAGGTAATGTCTTGTATATCTTTTTCCTTCTCGGGAGCTTAGACAGTAAAGCATCTGAACATGCCTGGGTGACCAGTAACGACTGAATGTTGATTTATATGGCGGAATTGAACTGATAATAATAGAGTAGAATAATAATAATATTAGAATGCTGGGCTGTTACTCTCTACCATGCATACAATAGTAGAATACAGAATCCACTGAAGCCTGCCGGAGTGGCTAAGTGGTTGAGTGTAGGCCTTTGAACCAGGAGGTCACAGTTCAGTTCCTGGTCAGGGTACATGTCCGGGTTGTGGGCTTGATCACTAGTGTGGGGTGTGTGGGAGGCAGCCGATAGATGATTCTCCTCATCATTGATGTTTCTATCTCTCTCTCCCTCACCCTTCCTCTCTGAAATTAATAGAAATATATCTATAGATATAAATATAGATATAGATAGATTAAAAGACTCCATTGAAGATTAAGTACCCATTTATTAGAGTTGTAGCTAGTTTTTTCAAGAGTAAAGGGATAATAACTGTTTTCATATACATGTAATTTACACAGACCCATTATAAAATATTTTCAGTGACCTATTTCTAGTTAATTTTGCAAACGATGCAAAAATTAGATATGTATGGATGTACATACATATGTGCATGCACACATATGTACACACATGCACATACACATCTATACACACCTTTAAGAGTATAGTTTTATGCCAGTACAAGATGGTGATGAAGGTGATTACTGTTAACTTCACTGTGGTTGGTTATGATTTCTGTATAAACACCATCACTACTCCTGGGTGGAAATAGACATCAGTGTATTTTCAGTTGAAAAAAATATATATAAACACAAACATCCATGCACACATAAACACTGTTTTAAAAAGGTAAATACATTTGCATATGAATTAGAATGCAACTGTTTTTTGACTTTAGGACAACATAGATCTTTAGGACCAAAAGATTCCAAGGTTAGAAGTCTAAAAATGGATGCAAGCATTTGGAGTAATGAACTCATCGAGGTAAGTCCGGTCTTACTGTGGTGGTGGTGGTGGTGAGCAGAGGTCTGGGAGGAGAGATGCCTATTAGGAGCTTATGTTAGGAACTCCTTGAGCAACTTCTCACCACAGTAGAGTAATGGCTTATAGCTTCTTTGATAGTAGCAACTTTCTACTTTAACTTTCATAATGCTTCCTAAATGAATAGTTATTTTAAAGATAAAGAAGTACAAGGAGCTTTAATTGTAATAACTATTTTTAAGGGCTTGGCAGCTCTGTCGTTTACCCAGAATTTACTTTCTTTTTAACCCAGCATGGATATAATATTAGAAAAGTGATGAAAACATTGGGCAAAATTTGCCATTCTTTATCTTGGCCATGCTGTGTCATTAACTGCGATTATGTCTAACTTGCTGTCTCCCAGTTCCATTTTCTGCTCCGTTTCAGCACCACTCTCAGCCGCGTTAGTCCACCTACTCAGCCATTTTAAATGAATCTGTCTCAATGTGAGCTTCAAAAAATAATCATGCTTTGGCTGCAATTTGTGTGGCTTGCAATTTCCTTCCTCGCTAATCTTCTACTGTTATTAAGAGCAGCTAGACTGTATTTAAAATAGAAATCGTGTCTGCTTTCACACTCCATCTTCCTGAAAAAGTTAAATCTTTCCTGTGTTTTTGCATATTTTATACTAAGTTATGCTTTCATTTATCATGTGAGTCAGTTTTCTGCAGATTTAAGTAATATTTTAGGAACTGATATATCTTATAATTTTTTGATAATTCAGCTTTTTATTGTCATTGGAAACAAAAGAGCAAATGACTTTTGGGCTGGTAACCTTCAAAAAGATGAAGAATTACACATGGACGCGCCTGTAGAAAAGAGAAAAAGCTTCATTACCCAGAAGTACAAAGAAGGGAGATTCAGAAAAACCCTTTTGGCATCTCTCACCAAGGAGGAATTAAATAAGGTATCCAATAAAACATAACAATAGACATGCATTTCAGTATCTTATTAAATATGTGCTAAGGATTTTGGAAAGAAATAAAAAATATTTTGCTATTTGATGAAATTATTGCATAGTCTCATTTTATTTCCTTTTGTGAGACTTTATCCATGGTTTCTCATTGTTTCTCTAAAGAGTTGTCATCAATGGCAGATAAACTCTCTGTCCACAAGATTTCAGCTAACGTAGGCATATCCCATTATTCTTAAACCCCTGATAACTTTCCCTATTTTAGGGACAGGACACGCTTCAGCTCATACATTGCTGACTTGCTGTCACCAGAATTAGCATTAGTTACTTCATTTATTGTTACAAGCAATGCTTTGCTTAGTGCTGTTGATTTGAACTGTCACTTGCTTTTGGCTGAGTGATTCCAGGTCTTTTGTGACCATTTTGTGCTACCCACTTGATCTTCACTCATTTAATGAGGGACACTTGGGTTGTTTCCATATCTTGGCTATTGTGAAAAATAATGCTGCAATGAACATCAGAATGCTGATATCTTTTCAATATTCTGTTTTTATTTCATATATATATATACATATATATATGTATGTGTATATATATATATTTTCAGAAGTGGGGTTGCTGTATCCTATGAAAACTGTATTTTTAAGTCTTTTGAGGAATATTGACGCTGTTTTCCAATGTGGCTGAACTAAATTGTATTCCCACCAGCAGTGCACAAGGGTTCCCTTTTCTCCACATCCCCATCAACACTTGTTATTTCTTGTCTTCTCCAACATAGCCATTCTGCCAGGTGTGAGGCGATATCTCATTGTGGTTTTCATTTACATTTCCCTGATGATTAGTGATGTTGAACATCCTTTCATGTACCTGTTGGCCATTTGGATGTCTTCTTTGGAAAACTGTCTAATTTGTTTCTATGCCCATTACTGAATCAGATTTTTAAAAGTTGAGTTGTATGTGTCCTTGATTCAGAAGTGAAGGAAATTCTGGATGTCAGCTAGACCATGGTGGAAAAGAGAAGCACTTTTTAACTAGTAGACAGGAACTGTGAATACATTCTGAGACTCCTTGGCTGCACACTCTGAGCTGCCCATTGGGATAGCTAATGAGCGATTATCCTGAGGTTGCAGTGTGGAGGGCAAATTAATTAGTGATCTGTCCAGATGCACCATGTCAGAGAGAAGGTAAATAGTGAACCTGAGGCTGAAGTCAGATGGAATCAGGTTGCAAAATCAGAGGGTTTGGAAGAAAATGGTAAGCCAATAAAGTGAGGAAGCAGGAAGAGAGGATGAGAAGAGATGTAAAGGTAGCTTATTAATATAGGTCCGCAATGTTTTATTGTGTCTGTTTACTGTTCCTGCTCGCCACATTACCCCTCCCCCAAAGGGAAAGATTCTGAATTGGAGCTCATCTTTCAAATTACCACAACACAACAATAATTGAACGAATATACAGATCCCAATTAGGCTGGAAATTACATACATACATACATACATACATACACATACAAATGCATACGTACATTAATATGACAAAACATTCAGTGGATACCTCATTATTACATTTGAAACATTTAGAATTTTGTGAGCATCAGTCATTATTATTGTATGTAAGTACAAAAAGTGTCTTCCAGAGCAAATATTCTGGATTAGAAGGTTTGGAACATCACAGCTACAAAACAATGAATTGAGGCTTGGAGGTCTTGGGTTATGATTTAAATTCATGCAAAGCAGGCCTTGTGTGCCTATTGTTTAATTCAGGGCACACATATAATTATATTTCTTAGTTAAGAAGGAATACAAACTTCATATCGTAAATGGACAGACTTTCACTCATTTTAATAGCTAGAATTGCATTTTCTTCCTTTAAGAATTATATTTTCTTTCAATGGCCAGGCTCTGTGTGCTGCTGTGGTGAAATCGGATGTTCTGGAAACAATGGCTTTGCTCTTCAGTGGAGCAGACGTCATGTGTGCAACCGGAGACCCCGTGCACAGCACCCCCTACCAGCTGGCCAAGAAGGCTGGGCAGAGTCTGCAGATGGAATTTCTCTACCACAACAAGTTCTCAGGTGAGCCCCATCCCTTCATTAGCCTGGTTTCTTCTGATGTGTCCCTAAATGGACAGAAGCCCATATGTGTTTATTTCTCAAATAAGAAAAGCCATCAGAATGAAGAAAAATATAACTACCAAAAAGATGGAAGATGCGTCAGAGTACATTTTATTTTAAGAAAAAGTCTAGGAAATCTTTTACATTTCTCTAATCTTACAAATGGAAGATTAAAACAGTTAATCCTACATTATCATTTCCACCAAAATCAAATCCGATTTTCATATATGAATAATAAACACAACGTAAGTGCTTATTTTTGCAAGTTTCATGCAAAGTAAAATAAATATTTCTGTGTATTTATTCTGTGGTATATTTGAAGTAGTTCTTCTAGCTCAAACCTCACCTACATATTCATAAGCAAAGGGAAAGTTGTTTACATTTTAGATGTCAAATGCATTATTTCTGTAATTTCTCCAGATTTTCCTCAACACGACGTTCATTTCGAAGGTGGATTAAGTCAAGAGTCCGCCCAGTGCACGTTCCTCTGTGACTTTTTGTACCAGGCTCCTTCTGCTGCTTCCAAACTCCCTGCAGAGAAAAAACTGCTGGAAGGTACCTTTCCTGCTCCTTTTAGATTTGGTTACCGATAAAACTGTCTTTCATTATCGAAACAATTAGGTTTACATTTTGATATTTTTTCCCCTTAAGATACTAGATTTGATCTTGTGGTAGGAAAATATGTTTTTTAGGATTTATAAATGCTTCCAGGCACAGATAATATTTCATGAGCTGCAACAGGGATTTACCACTGGGTTGGGATGCTGAGGGAATTCTCAACAGAATTCACTGATGTCTACCGCAGGGCCAACCAATTCAGTTTCAGGTTTTAAAGGTTGTCCCAAAGAAATGTGAAACTCCGCCCCTTCCCTTAGGGACAGACACCCTAACTGGGGAGATAATATAGGTAAATGTGAACACAGAGGAAGAAGTGACAAGTTTTCAGTGCTTATTTTATCAGCATACTAAGTAATATTAGGTAGTTCACTTTGTTCTGGTGGACTGTGTGTGTGTGTGTGTGTATGTGTGTGTATAAAATAAAGCTTAAGCATGATTTCCAAATACTGATGGGAATTGATTTGATTCAGCAAACCTATATTCTAGGTTTGGGAATTACCTGAGCCGAGGCCCTGTAGGCAGTTATTCATCAGCTCCTTGTGTCAGTCGTGTGCTAGGCAGGCATTAGAAATACCAAAATGAAACAGACACAGGCCTCATGCTCCTGTGGCAAATATTTGAACTAATTTTAGAAACATAGCAGGAAACTATGAGCTCTGTCTTCCTGGAACAAAGAGAATTTAAGAGATTAAGCTCCACAGGCCCGGTGACGGTGGGCGTCCCGAGGCTCCGAGCCTGGCATTAGTTCCGTGGGTGCTGGGACCCAGCTCTGTTACTCCAGCAAAGGAACAGTAGGATGAAGAACTCACTCTAAAGTGTTCATCTGGGTTCTTGTGCACTTGAAGTGATTATTTCAGTGTAAATGCTTTATTTCCAAAAAAGTATTTCCCCAAGCAGAATTCTACTGGGATTAACTGGACTTCATTAGGTTTTTCTGAAAACAGTAGCAGCCCTTTAGTAAGGCTTTAGGTATTTACATACATTAATTGTAATCCTCATAAAAACTCGGTAAGACAGCTGATATTAGGCTGATTTGCACATGAAAAAAATGGAGGAATTCAGCACGAAGCAGTGTTTTCCATCTGAGCTGTGTTATAATTGTTATTGTAGCACTTTGGCCAGTGGCACAGCATTTTTATTCTTTGAATTTAGATGTTTTTGCTTCTTTCAACAATTGGTTTTTAATGTCTTCCTTAACTCACCCAAACTCAGTAATGAACGATGAATTTCACAGACATTTTCTCATCTTCTGTTCCTCCTTACCAGTGTTTAACCCTTAAATAATCCAAAGTTGACTGAACAGAAAGGAGAAAGTACCTGAATGATCTGTGAATTGACTACAGCAGTTATCTATATTAATAAAAGTGTAATATGCTAATTAGACCAGACGCCCATCTGGACGTCCTTCCTGACAAAGCCACAGCGGCTGCAAGGGCCGAGGGCCAGTGGTGCAGGAGAGGTCACGGCCGTGGGAGCTGAGGAAGGCAGCTCTCGCAGCCGAGGCTGTGGGAGTGGAGGAAGGCGGTTCCACAGCCCCTTTGCAGAGGCGGCACGGGAGAGGCCTCAGCGTGGGCCGGTCCAGCGCCAAGGCCCCTTCCACAGAGGCAGCGGGAGAGGGGCTGTGTGGTCCAGGTCCCAGTGCTGCCCCTTCCACAGAGGCAGGAACAGAGGCAGGCCTGGGCCCGGCGCCACACCTGCACAGAGGCTGGACGGGGTATGACCTGCTATGCCTCAACCTCCCACAGCCCCTCCCCCAGCTGGCCTGGTCCCAGATCACGCCCCACCCACCAGTGGGTGGAGGGGGGGGGCAGCGCTAAAAAGTGAGGGCCGAGAGCTGGCAGCAGAGCAGGGTGATGGGGGCGGTACCTTCCCCTGATCTGCCCAGTCACCTCCTGCAGAGGAGGACATCCCCTGAGGGCTCCTGGACTGTGAGGGGGGGCAGTCCGGGCTGAGAGACACCCCCCACCCAGTGCACGAATTTTCATGCACCAGGCCTCTAGTTAAGTAATAAGTAATAATTGAGTAATAAGACAATTAATGTACTTGCAAATAAGTTTACAAGTTTTCTAGAATGTTTCATCTAAATAGTAGGAGATCATAGACTTAACTCTTCAAACCATTGTAGGAGGATGAAATAGGAACTTGAAATAGAAGACTTTCTTCCTGAAGCTTTTCAATAAAGCATGAGCACCCTGCAGGCTAAAAATAAGATTAGTTATTTTTTGACAATTGTGGTTATACTATTTATAGACTTCCTTGAAATATGGTTTGATTTTTTTCTTAATCACTTGAGGACTGATGTTTTAAACTTTAACTAAATCCTTGTTTCCTTTTATCTTTTAAAATTAACTATAGATTTTTTTGGTTAAAATTTAAAAAATAGAAACTAGTGCATTCTCTGTGCAATTTAATTAGGGATGTTTCCTCATTTTGGAACAATCTCTTTTAAATAATATGAAATTGAACTTTTATACTTTGGCTATGTAACACACAGAAATTATTGTATTGGATATAATCTCCTGGCAGGGTATTCTTTGATCATCTTCTTTTCTTCCATCCAATATTTCGGCAGGGTCTATCATTTCAAACTCAAAATGGGTTATGAATCAGTTGGCTACTCTCCATCTCCCCTCATAGCCTAGCCCCGGCACCATCATGCTCTCCCTGGGCTGTTACAGCCTCCCTATTTGTCTGCCAATAACTATTCTAGTTCCTTCCAAACCATTCTCCAAAAAGCAGACTCAATGTTTATTGAAAATGTAAAGCAGATCATGTACTTTCATTGTTCAAGTACATTTAGCAGCTTCCCATCCCAGAATATATTCCTTCCTTTGCTGCATCATGCCTGGCCATACTGGTTTCCTGTCTGTTTCTACAACATGCCTGTTCTTTTCTGCCTCCCTTTGCAATTGCTGTTTACTCTGCAAGGAGGCCCCTCCCCATTTTGGCTCCTTGTCCTCTTTCAGGGATCAGTTCAGTGCCACCTACTCAGAGACGCCACTTTGGCACTTTGCTAAAGTTTGTGCCCACTGCCAGCTCTTCCTTTTAGAGTCTGCCACTTATTTCCATCGTAGCACTTAGCGCATGAAGGTGATTCTCCTTCATTGATTTGTTTCTCTTTCCCTCTGGAGTGAAAGCCCAATGAAGCATCAGCATTTTCTGGTTTATTTGGGATTATCAAATCTTTGGTGCCTAAAACTGTGTCAACACATAGTAATCATGTGATAGCTACTTGTCCAATAAATGACCATTTCTCTAGTCACAGTACTACCAGTGTAAAAGTGTAAGTGACTTGTTAATGTTTTGTTTTTCCCCTGTGTACAAACATGTATCATTGCTGGCAAAAAAGCATATTTTGTTCAGAAAGAGCCTACTTAAGAATGAAGAAGAAATGGGGGGATAAGGACACACATGTAATACCTTAATCAATAAAAATAAAAATAAAAAAGAATGAAGAAGAAAAAGTCGAACTACCAAGAAGCAGAAAGTTCTGGTGTTTTTGTTTTTTCCTTTCTCGCTTTGCCCTCAAGATCCTGTAGTGGTGTTACTCCTGTTGAGCGCCAGCTTTATGGAAAGATGAATTATTCGGAAAGATTTAGAGATTAAAGTGTGGTTGCCACCTTGGCCTCTGAATGGCAAGCACCTGGGCCGCACCACTCCATCAGTGCTTGTCCGGACGCCATGGGGCAAAATGATTAAAAACCAAGGAAAAGCCAGGGAACAAAGTGCATGCGGCCCTTCAGAGAGTTACGGAGGCTTCAAACTGTCAGCTCAGGTTTTCAGGGTTTGAAGTTCTTCTAGCCTCTGGTTATGAAGACTGATCTGTATTTTTCTTTTCCTTCTCAATTTAGTGTTCATGGAAAGAAAGATTGATAGCTCCTGTTAAACCTAAGTACAGAGCTGAAGAATAGCATCCTGCCTTTGTTTTCTGTTTCCTCCCCTCAACCGTATTTTTCCCTTTTAGCATCTTACTTTGATTTGTTGACACAATGTTTGATTTCTTTTTTTTTTTTAAATCCTCACCTGAGGATATTTTTCCATTGATTTCTAGAGAGAGAAAGTGGAAGGAACATTCTCTCTTTAGAGGGAAAGACACAGAGAGAGAAACATTGATGTGAGAGAGACACATCGATTGGCTGTCTCCCACATATGCCCGGACCAGGGCCAGAGTCTAGCCTGCAACTGAGGTACATGCCCTTGACTGGTATCGAACCTGGGGCCCTTCAGTCTGCGGGCCAATGCTCTATCCACTGAGCCAGACTGGCCAGTGCCAGTGTTTGATTTCTAAAAAGAAAGTCATTGATAGAGTTCACTATTAGAAACTGTATCATTTATTTATATTTAATTTCATAGATTAGCATTGAGGATTTTTGATGATCTATTAAGTGCCTAGCTTGTGTAGTTTTTAAAAGTTTCTTCAAGGCTAAAAGACATTTATTTAAAATGAAAAGGATATCTAGTGTGTATTCTTAGTTTCAGTGGAAGCTGAATACGATCAGGTTAGGAAATTCTTCATGAGGAAATGACTTATTTATGCTTTCTACAAATAATAGTTTTACCTGAATTATCTCAGCCTTACTGTGCACATAGGTGTTAGAAGGTATGACCTCCACTCTACCCTAACACATTAAAAATGGGCGTATGTGCTTCAGAGGTGTAACAGGCTCTGAGAGGTAGCATGTGAAGTAATCACGACCATAGCTTCAGGAGCTGACCGCCTGGTCCTACCTCCAGCCCTGATGCTAAGCCCTTGTGTGACCTGGGGAAAGTCAATGGGCTGCTTTGTGCCTGTCTACAGGAGACGAGGAAGGGGTTTGTCATAACAGGAATGACCTAAGAGGCCTGTTCTAGGATTCAGTGAGTTAATGAACATAAAGTGTGTAGAAGAATGCATGGCACGTAAATGTGGTGATGAGGGGACCGTGAGGAGGAGGCGGAGCAGCAGAGGGGCTGCTTCCGGTTTCCAGTTGGCCCTTGAATTTAGATATGTTCTCCCGGCTGTAGGTGACAGCCCAGGTGTCAAACTGTGGTATCCATATCACTCCACAGCCGCATTTCAGTAGATCACCTCTGGAGTCCTTTACCTGTGCTTGAGGACATTCTAGTAATGTTTGTCTTCCCTGGTCTAAACATTAAGATAGAATAGGAGTCAACAGCCCCTCCAGTCAGTCCAACCACTGTACCCATGGCCTCTTATCCATTAAACAGCTTACATTTTTAGGGTTATTCGTTGAGAGTGGCCCCTGCTTTGTTTCTGGTGGATATCTTTGAGTAACTGAATAACAGTAAGACTACTTCTGTAGCCAACAAGGTGTCATGGATGGTATCGACATTTCTCAAGGTCAGAGTCTGCAGACCATGTCCAAATTGGCCTATGCAGACCAATGCAATCCGACATAATTTTGTTAAAGCTTTTCCTTGCTTCCCAAATGAATAGGAATGTCAAGATTTGCTATCCCAGCTTTATCATTATAAATCCTCAAAGGTAATATCTCTGCCTCCCTTGTCTGACCTCCGGCCCGTTTTCCTTATACCAGTAAAATGAAGCTAATCAAGGGTAGTAGTGATGATAGTGCAATAGAACTAGATCTCCTTAAGCCCATATTTCTAACTGGAAATGAGTTTGTACTCACCTTTTTAAAGAGCTCTGTCATTTGTTTCCCATTGAAATTTGCATAATTAGATTCCTCATTTACATTTATTGTATGCAGCATGTATTTGGCACTTTTTATTTAAGACTGTCCAAGGGCTCCCACTTGTCTGCTGAGAAAGGCATGAACTCCTGAACACCTGTCATGTGAGGCTCTGGGGGCCTGGCCTCTGCCTTGAGCCTGCAATCTTGCTTCCCTTTCCCAACTTCATGTGTAACCTGAGTCTCTGGCCAAGTCAGCTTTCAGCTGTCCCCTTCCTGTGACTTCCCAGAATTATGGAATGACTGCAGTTCAGAATGCATTTTTTGCTGCTTTAGAAACATGTCTTTTCAGTCATAAATGACTATTTCAAAAGCTGTGTTTTCCTATGAAATTTTTCTTTTCACTTCAGACTGAGGGTGGCTTCCCTCCGTGAATGATTCTCACCTGAAAGGGCCCACCTGATGGTTGTTATTCCAAACACAGCTCCCCTTAGATTGGATTACAAACTGCCTAAGGCAGTGGTTCTCAACCTTTGCTGCACATTAGAATCACCTGGGAATCTTTTTAAAATCCTGATTTCTGGGCCTCATCCTCCGGAAATTCTGTTTCTTTGTTACTGGTTGGGGCCACAACACTAGTAACAAAGAAACAAAATTTCCGGAGGAGGAGGCCCAGAAATCAGGATTTTAAAAAGATTCCCAGGTGATTCAAAGAAACAGAATTTCCGGAGGATGAGGCCCAGAAATCAGGATTTTAAAAAGATTCCCAGGTGATTCTAATGTGCAGCCAAGGTTGAGAACCACTGGCCTAAGGACTGGTTGGAATTCCTAAAATGTGCCAGTGATCAGCTGAGTACTGAATAAATGTACATTTTGTGCTTTATTCTCCATGAATTTATTCTAGGCATCTGAGTACATTGTTTCGAAATCATTTCATAACTCCAATTGATAAATTCTTTAACTTTTGTTTTTCTTATATTTTAGAAATCTACAATAAATTCTCATTTAAACATAATGGCCTTTTGTGACTTCCATGTAAGTGTGCAGAGTTATATATACTCTGTGACTCAGAGTTTGAGGCCCCGGAACTGTATATCAGGAATTGATTGGGTCTTGGTTAGCTTCTTTCCCAGGACCCATAAAGAAATTCTTGGTGCTGTCTTCTGCCGATTTTCTTCTGTTGGTTATGATTCAGCTTTTCATTTGGCTGTCAGTTTCTCAGAATTCAGTGACCCTACAGCTCTCAGGGGTCTACCTTGGGAGTGTTTCTCCTTGTGCCGGTGTTTGAGGCTAAACACTCTTATTTTTCTTTTTTTGTCCTACTTCTCAAAACGACCCCACCTGTGATATAGGGAAATTTAATGAGTGACAATACATATATTTCTTTAACTTTTAATTTTTAATTATTGTAACATAATTTCAGACCCACAGAAAAGTTGCAAGTATAGTACAAAGAATTCCCATATAGCTTTCAGCAGACATCCCAAATATTAGCATTTTACCTGTTACTCATGGGTATGCATATTCTCAGAATTACTTGATGCCCCTTTAGTCCTAGGTACCTCAGTCTGTATTTCTTCAAAATAAGGGCATCCCTCTGAAACATCCACAGTACGACGATCAAAATTAGGAAATGTTTGGATCTACAGACAGATCCTCTTTATTACCTCATTATTATGAGGACCAACTGACATTTTTTCAGCCCTTATTTCATTAGATCTCTTTGCTTATTTATTAGCAGCAATCATTCCTTTTCTAAATACTCAACCCCTTTCTCTCTTACACACTGTCTCTTCTCATTTGCTTCATTGCTTTCATGGACCCCTCTACATCTGTTACTATATATATAATTATTATTTTTAATTAAAGTATAGTTGACAACGCTTTACAATTTTAATTTCCCTAAGATTGTCTCCTTGGTTACTTATGTTTTCAAATACTACCTACATTCTATAGACTTTCTAGTCATCAAGATCTTTGTTTGCTCCAAGATGCAAATCCATAGGGTAATCACTTAATATATATCTCTACTTGGATTTCCAAGATATCTCTAATTCAGTGCTCTAAAAGGAAATATATATTACATGCACTAAAACTCTATACTTTATTTTCTTTTAAGTAAAGGTAGATATCACTGTCTGTTTTGTAATCAAAGCTAAAAATAATGTCACCATTAATTAGTTCCCCCCTCATGCATCCAATCAATATATGTTTATGTCCTTAGAACACAATGCATGTACTCATTTCTCTCTCCCTCCTCCCCTTCTCTCTTTCTCTTTTCTTCTCCCTACTACACTCCCACTGGCCTGCTTTGGGCTGTTTTCATCTCGCAGATAGACTTCTGTCAACACTATCCTAACTAGTGTCCTGCCTCTGGCCTCACCTTCTCAAATTCATCTTCACAGTGAGCAGAGTGTGTAAGACTCAAATCTGATGATAATCCTCTGCTGAAACATTTTAATGGCTCACCATCAACTACAAATCAAAACTCAGCAGACTTCTGAAAAGTAGTATTTTGAGCTTTGTGGGCCAGGTAGTCTGTGCCAGGACTCAAATCTGCCCCTGTAGCGAGAAACTTACAGAAACAAGTGATGGCTTGGATTTGGCCTTTTGCAAATCTACCCCTGTAGCGAGAGAGCAGCCACAGATAGTCTGTAAATGAGTGGGTCTGGCTGCATTTCAGTGAAACTTACTTACAGAAACAAGTGATGGCTTGGATTTGGCCTTTTGGCCTCCGGGTCATAGTGATGAATTTAAGTCTCTAATTAAGGCATTAAGGGAACTCCATGCTCAGACCCCTTCTTCCTTTGCACACCTGAGGTCAGCCCTAGTCTTACTTTTCAAGTCTATATGGACCTCTGTCTTTGCTTTTTCAGTGTTTTTTGCAGCTGTCCTTTTTGGTTCTGCCTGATTCACTGGTCATCAATGTCATAGCTATTTTTGTCTTGTATAGCCCTTGCTCCTAGATTATTAATATTTTGAGAGCAGAGTATGACAACTTTGTATGTCATGAACCAAGAGCATGCTCTTTACACAGAATAGAAAATTAGCAGATTTATTTGAATCCACTCATTATTTAAACCGTGTATTTTTTTTAAATTAGAGTTGTGATGCAGTTCAATTGTTTGTTTTGTTTTAAATTCTTAGAGACAAATAAAAAGTGGTGTGTTTTGGAAGGAGGCTTCCTGAGTTACTATGAAAATGACAAGTCTACCACTCCCAATGGCACCATTAACATCAGTGATGTCATCTGCCTGGCTGTGCACAAAGAGGACTTCTATATAAACACCGGGTAGGTCTGTCACTGCACGGGCAGGAGGTGGAAGCATGTCTGGTATCTGTCATACCAGGTAATAGTGTTCTAAGGACATTGTGCTCTAAGGACATTTGTTATTTCGGTTCTTCCATTGCTTATTGTGGAAGGGTTGAGTGGATTCTTGAAGCCTACTCAGTTTGCAGCTTCTGAAAGTTCTTTAGGGAATTCACTAAAAAGAGAAAATTAAAATATTGCATTAGGTAATATGAAAGGCTGACATGTTTGCATCTAATCTTAAGTAAATTTATAGTAATTCCTTCATGACATACAGTCCTATAATTTTTATGACATACTCATTATTTAAAGTAGTGGACTAAGGGCAAAATTTATGCATCCGTTTAAGGCACCATGGTTCGAATAGATGACAAAGGAAAGTATCTGTTGATGATTTATTCATATTAATATCAGCAAAATACTAAGTATATATAGTAACATATGGAAGTGCTAAATTTCTTAAAGATCTACTTTGACATTTTAATTGTCTCAGAAAGGTTGCAATTCTAAGAGTAAGCATTATTTAATATATCGTCTCACAGATTAGTTAAACAGAAATTTCCATGAGGACTTTTAGAAACAGCATCAAAGATCTTTGTTGTGGAAGTTACTCATCACATTTTGTGATGAAATTAATGAGAAAATACAAAAAACACATCTGCAAAAGTTAACTATAAAGGAGCATAGTATTTAATGAAAATTCTGTATAAAAAAAAGAGATTTGCAAAGCTTTTTCCATTATATGATATTACATGAAACATTATTAAGTAATGATCTATATATTCTAGTTGAGGTGACTGTTGCTTTCTAATAAATCTAGTTTGATTTTTTTATGCAAACAAAATTGATTATTAGTTGATTTGTTTTTATTTTAATTTAACAGAGCTTTTATCCTAAGTGAATTATCAGTTTACTGTGTCTTATTGTGGAATGTTAAAATAAGTGCATTCAATGCATTAAGATACTTAATTAGTAAATAAAATATAATTTAAAATAACATGAGTTTATGTCAGCATATAGTTATTTAAAAATAAAACATTCTTGGTAGAATGATATTGATACAAATAGATGTTCAGGAGGAAGCAGCCAGATTCTGAATTGCTTTAAGTAGCATATTACAGAGTTCGAACTCAGTAATGTAGGCACTGAGGATTAAGTAGTTTTGGGAAAAAGCTGACTACAGTGGTAAGGAAGAGTTTAGAGGAAGAGGGATCCTAATTACCGAGAGTATAACTAGAGGAAGAGATGATTAAAAAAGTGGGTTGAGAGAATATTACGATTGATCTGATAAGATTAAACGTCTGATTAACCAGATGAAAAACTGAAGGTAAAGGGAAGAATAAACTAAACGAGATGGTTTTGAGCTTATTGATGAGGTAAATTGGAACAGGAAGGATATGTAATAGGCTTTGGGTAAAAAGGAGGAAAAAGGAAGATAACTATATGATATAGGGTATTTTGAGGTCTTTAGGTAATAGCATACACGCTTAGCATGTTCCATGAAATAGTTTAAGTTGTGGATGAGAAACCAAGGGAAGAATTCAGGACAAAGGGACGTTACTCTGATTTTATCTATAGGAAGGAGCTGACATGCACATTTTCTCATTTGAATAAAATACATACCATCAGCAGAAAACTGTGAGAGATTGATTTCACAGCATTATCCAGTTTTCAGAATGCATTTAATAAAAAAAAAAAATTGACATCCATGTGATTTGTTTTCGTAAGAGCCAAGCATAACCAGCGGTATCGTTTTATTTGTGTGTGCCATAGGCCCATCTTCACCTTTGAGATCTATTTGCCCTCAGAACGTGCATTTTTATTCGGAGCTGAAACATTTCAAGCCCAAAGAAGATGGACAGAGGCAATAGCTAAGGTATTTAAAGATTGCATTATTCCCCTAAACCCAGAGAAGTTTCTCAACTTGGGGACTATGGTTGAGCTTTAGAGGTCCACAAAAATTTTATACACGATTCTGGGAAGAATGTCCATACTTCATTAGGTTTTCAAAGGTTATAATCAAAGAGGTTAAGGGCTACCTTCCTAGAGCCCTAAGCAGAGAAGAAATTAATATCGGACCCCGGAGAAATTATTCTTCAAATAAAGGTCATGTTTTGATGATTAAGATTTTTTTTCATCATTGTAAAGTCATTTCTGTGAATGTCTTTTTATGAGTAGTTATCTTACTCATGGTATACACAAAGGGGAAATGGCAGATTCAGTGAAAGATGCAAATGAAGACAGTGAAGGCTGACATTTTGGAAAGTACCACACATCAACAGAGAGAATGTCTTTCTCTTTCAATTCTATATTTATGGAGAAAAATGGTTTAAGACGTTGCCGCTTGAAACTGCGTTAATAGTTGTTCACCTTTAAGATTGAGAGCAAGTTTAAAAAGTTATTCTGAAATTTAGGTTACTTCTAAATCTTTAAGATAGAAAATCAAAGATAATTTTCCTGCCTTCCCTCATATCTGCAGGTAAGGAAGGGATTTCCTATATTCACTCTCTTTCTTACTTTTCTGTATTTGTTTTAACAGCAATTTGTTCCCTTTTTTGCTGAAAACTTAACACAAGCTAATTATGATTTGATTGGTCAACTCTACTACAAAGACTGCCATGCCCTGGATCAGTGGAAAACAGGCTGGTTTGCTATGGACAAGTCTAGTCTGCGTTTTTGCCTTCAAACGCAGGAAGTTCAGGAAGATAGAATGAACTTAAGAAGACTGCAAGAGCTAAGTAAGATTTTTTTGCCCTCATCTTATATTTTGGACACAATTTTTATTGCATATGTTAATAGTATCTTTTACATAAAATTATATGAGGACTCACTCCAAAATATATGACTAAGGAGTATTAATAATTGTGTCTTTATGTGTATTTAGTGGGTATTTAGTAAAATGTTCTTAAGACATGTGTTGATGTTTTTCTCTTCTCCCTCTAGCTATCAGCACAATGGTTCAAAATGGGGAAAAAGTGGATATTTTGCTCTTGGTAGAGAAAGGGAGGTAAGTGCGTTTTTGTCTTTGACTCTTTAATAACTAGGGAGTGGGATATTCTGTTTATCTCCTTGGGAGAGAATCCATGATTTTATAGCCTGCTAGACATTTTATGAATTGTGTGTGTGTGTGTCTGTATATATATATTTATATACTCTTCAGTAGAAAGAGTATATGAGTGAAGCTTAACATATTTTTTTTGTATTTGCTATGAGAAACTCAGTAACACTAGTTATTATAATTTTCTGTAGACCTAGATGCCTTTGGGACATTCACATTTAAGCATTTGGAAGCACTTTGGTAGTTGTAAATATATTTTCAGTGTAGATATGTGAGGAATAAATAATATCCTGAAGTATTTTTGCATGTGATTCATGCATAGCTAATTTATTCACTTTTTTCAATAAATACAAAGCATCTACTGTGCATCAGGTAACTGTTGAGGATATGGTGATGAATAAAATAGACATGGTCCCTACCTTCATGAAGCATGCACACTAATGGGGGGAACAGAAGAGAAGCAGAAAAGAAAATTACATTTTATTGTGTCCATAAATTTTAACTGGCTTAAAGCAAACTGAAGAGAGAGCGGCTGATGGAGAGTGTTCTGTTTCAGGTAGGGGTAAGGGCAGGCATCTTCTGCATAAAGTGAAGAAGCAAACCATGCAGCAGTCTTCATAATGTTCCAGGCATCAGGTCAAGGCTATTTTGAAGACCCTAGTGCATTGTGCTTGGCATTTTCAAGGTCCACAAGGAAGCTACTGGGGAGATTTGAATGAACAGGAGAGTGGGAAGTAATGATTTCAGAGATACTCTTGGGCCAGATTCTATAGGGCCTTACAGGTCATTATATGTAACGTGATGGAGCCTTGGTGAATGCACATCATTTTGGAGGCGGGGCAGTTGTCAGGAGGAGTAGCTATCCTGGAATATTAAGCTAGTTTACCCAGGGAGTGAATCCAGAAACCAAGAGAGAGTGTCCAAAACCTAGAAAGAGCATTTCCAGAAGGAAGGAAGAGTCAGAAGCGTCCTGTGCTGCCTGATGAGGACAGATACTCCCTGAGTAAGTGGTGCGGACTGCACCTGCTGACTTTGAGAAGCTCAGAAGTGAGAGAGCAGAAACCGGACCAGGTGCAGGCTAGGAACCGAGTACACGGAAACTGTGAGGTTAGTTTGCCAAGGAAACTGGAGCTTAGTAGGATTATCGAAGTAGAAGGGATTTGACCTAGAAAGGGAATGTGTGTGCCGTTTGTTTTTAGATGGCTTGGACTTGTCCGGCTTTAAATTTGGATGGGAAAGAGACACAAAGGAGTCAACAATTTAGAATTCAAGCATGAAGGCTTATAAAAATTTTAATTCAGAAAGGTTCAGGTTTATTCAGTAGTGTTCCATATTTTGTTTTGGGATTACTTATACGTTTGTTAGCCACCTAAGAACATAGAGGTTTTGTTTTTTTTCCCCAAATAGTAGTTCCAACAAGTTAAATCAACTTTTCACCAAAAAAAATCCAGCAGATTTTGTATACTGAGTTTTGAATGATGATGGTTTTCAATTTTAAAAGTAAGAAAAGGGCCCAGATAGTACAGACTTTGGTCATAACCCAAAATTTCAAAATAGTTTGTGATTCAAATATTTGTCTGAAGATAAATGATTTCTAATATGGTGACCTTCGTCTCAAATTCCAATGGATCCTCTCTCACATGGCCATAAGAGAATTTTTTTTTTGTCTCGACCAATCTTTGAAACCATAGAGATAAGACTGATGTTTAATAATTATAGTTTCAGAAATACAGCTTATTCTATGTTGGTTAAAGTTTTATGATCCTTTTCTTAAAAAAAAAAGAGAGAGATGGAAGGTATAAGAGAGGACAAAAGAACAATTATAACAGAAAGAGAAGAGGAATTGATGAGTGGTTTTGATGTGGGTAGCTTTCTAGATTTGGTGGTAGGATATTGAGAGAGACACCAGCCTGATGGTGTTCAATTCCTTGTAAACTAGGAGGTAAGGTGACTCCTGAGCTTTTGGCCTGGGTGACTTTATGAATGGTTGTGTCGTTAGCTAGATAGGGAATATATACTTCTCTCCCTCCACTCAAACAAGCCCATTAATTATAGGTGCGATTGTTTAAGAGCTGTTTTAATGTCATGTGCAAATAAGAGAATTTCATTGCAGTGCCCTCTCTCTCATCTCTCTTGTGATCTATTAGCCCCTTGGGAAATAACGCGTGTTAAAGTAGATTGTGTTAGACTTGTCAATGACAGATAAAATTGTGGCTTTAGGAAATAAAACAACTTCCAATTACTCATGTTGATGACATATAGAGATAGTGAATAATTGAAAGAGCGAGAAACCAACCAGCTGTAAGTTTTAAACTTTTTTTTTTTTGCTAGTAACTGCTAGAACCGGAATAGGAAATCATAAGTAAATTTAATGAATTAATTTCACATTTTCCCCTTGTCCTTGTCTACCTTTGATTAAAGTGATAAAATATATTAATGTTCCTTAAAGGCAAGGAGGAGAAAGAACCCTCTGAACTGGAACAGTTCATAAATTGATAATCATGCACTGAATTGAGTCACTATTTAGATATATATTGTAATCTTCACGGTCATTTTCTCTATATGCAGAGCATGAATGCCTTTAGACAGAAAAATATTGCAATAATATTTTCCACATACAGAGCATTTTTGCTCTAAAAAGCTCTAAACAGAAGGTGTTCCAGATGGCGTTGCTTTAATGGGTATTCTTTGTATACTTTAAACATTATTATTTTGGAAAATTAAAGCTTTCTTGATTACACTTAGGGGTTTCTGGCATGCTCTTTGGTGCTGTTACCAGGACTGGATCCTGTGCTTCTCTGTTACACCTCAATCAGAATTGCTGTATGAAAAAAAAAATCATGTTTCTGAATATCTGTTGTTTTTCAGTGACTGTTCTAGATCACAAGGTCAGAAGGCATTTTCCTGGACAGTAGGTTATATATTCACTTTAAGTTCAGTGTTTAGTAGATTACAACATCCTTTTCTTAAAATTTAGAAATTATTTCTGCACTTTAGCCCACACTTCTGCATATCCCTTTCTGATAAATAAGCTCCTATGTTCACCATCTTCACATTTCATAACTGTATAACCATTTGTCAAACACACCTATAATTAAGCTTTTACTGAAAGGTTGTTGGTTGCAATAAATACAGTAAACATGAATGAGTAACTCATCTGTGTTATCAGAAATAGAAAAGACTGGTGTGTTTTCACTTCGGTTTGCTGTTTTTTTAATCCTCACCTGAGGTTATTTTTTTCATTGCTTTTCAAAGAGAATGAAAGGGAGGTGGGAGAGAGGGAGAGAGAGAAACATCCCTGTGAGAGAGACACGTGGACTGGTTGCCTCCCGCATACATGGGGGGTGGGAGGGTGGCAGGTGCTGGTAGCAAACTGCAACCCAGGTACATGTCCTTGACTGTGAAGTGATACACTCTAACAATTGAGCACACCGACCAGGGCGTTTGTGTGTGTGTGTGTGTGTGTGTGTGTGTGTGTGTGTGTGTGTGTTTATATATTTTATTGATTTTTTACAGAGAGGGAGAGAGATAGAGAGTCAGAAACATCGATGAGAGAGAAACATCGATCAGCCGCCTCCTGCACATCTCCTACTGGGGATGTGCCTGCAACCCAGGTACATGCCCTTGACCGGAATCGAACCTGGGACCTTTCAGTCCGCAGGCCGACGCTCTATCCACTGAGCCAAACCGGTTTCAGCTGTGTGTGTATTTTAAGATTCCTTGGTTGACCTATAGTAGAACATAAAGCATTTAATGGTTCCAAAGCCTGACTGCATTCACTTTTATTTGCAAATTCCAGACATAAAGAAAGTATTGCTGGGGAAAAAACACATATCTATATGTTCCAAATTATGAAACAGACTACTTTTCTCAATTCAGGAGATTAACAACCTAAGTTTAAGGCTCTTATTTCATATCAACTTACTCCATGTGATATTTTTCCCTCCTTGAGTTGTGTTTTCTGGAAGCTATGTTAGCAATACTCCAGAGGGTGAATTATCCTAAAGTGGTTTCTAAATTGTGCATGTAATTGCAAATTAAACAGTAGCCGATTGCCCACAATATCAGCTTGACTGCTTTTATAACTTTCTGATGATTTAATTCAAAGAGATGCTTTACTTTGAATGTTGCCAAGGTAAACAAGAGATTCTCTTTTCTTACCACCCCCCACAGGTTTTGCAAAAAGGAAGACTATTCAAATTTACATTATGAAGTGATTTTCTTTTTGTTTTGTTAAAGGGAATACAGGACTAACAAAAGGTGGATTTTAAAGTATATATTTGCTTGAAAATTTATTTCAGTCAATTCAAAGCCCCTTCTATATACTAAAATGTAAGCATACAAATATGAGATACGTGAAAAACAAAAGGATGAGCCCTCTCGGCTCCATGCTCATCTGCATATTTTCAGGGTGAAATTCCAGAAGGCAGCTCCCATGGGTGTGCTGTGGGTTGAACAATCCCAAGAGCATAGGCAGTGTTGGGGTATGTGTAGAGATCCCTTCCATCCATGCTAGACAGCCCTCATTAAACACAGAGGGCATTAGTAAAGACCCCAGAAAAGTAACTCTATAGTGTAAAGGCCAAGCCAGCCTCGTAGTAAAGGCTGCTCTATTTCTACCCGACTAAGCTTTAGACCTCTGAAGGATCAGCTGCTCTACACGTAATGCAGTGCCCAGGGTCAAACAGGCACAGGATGTTCTTCTCACAGGCACATCCTGTGTTCTAAAGGAAGACAACACAATCCTGACACTCCAGTTAACATTCCTAATGTCTGGCATATCATTAAAATTACTAGCGATGTGAAAAAGCTGCAAATCAGTTGGTAGGAATTGACCCAGAAATGAGAAAGGTAATGGAATTAGCAAATACTCTAAGCAGTGATTTTTACATATTATATATTACAAATATTTTCAAAGATGTAAAGGAAAATATAAACAATAGCAAGAAACAATATGGGTAACTAAAAAATGAACAAATGGAATTTATAAAGCCAAAGAATAGGGTATCTGAAAAAATTTCACTAGGTTGCCTTGACATAAGAGTGGACTCTGTAAGATTAATAAACATGAAGGCATGACAATAGAAATGATCAAATTTAAGCACAGAGACATAAGACTAAAATCACCAGAGCCTCAGTGGCCTGTGGGATAATAACAAGCAGTCTCAGTATAATTGGAATCCGAAAATGAGAGAAGAGAAAGATGGCTAAAAAAATCTTTGCAGAAATGTGACCAAACATTTTCTGAATTTGATGACAACTCTAAACCCACACGTACTAAAATGTTAATCTCTCAAGCATGATAAAGCAGACCACATCAAGACACATTGTAATCAAATTCCGGAAAACCCGTGTTAGGAAAAAAAGTCCCAGAGGAAAATACACATTAGACATAGGACAAAAGATGAGACTGTCTTGTTAGAAACAGTGTAAACCAGAAGGTAGTGTAATGAAATCTTTTAAATTGCTGGCACAAAAAAAGGGAAAGAAAAAGAAAACAAAAACAAAAACAACACCTCAAAACCAGCAGCTGTTAACCTAAAATACTCCATTCAGCAAAAATATCTCTCAGAAATGAAAGGAAAAGAAAGTATTTGTGGACCAAATAAATGCTGTTATACTAGAAGATTCGGTGCTTTTATTTTTTTTAAATGCTTAGGATATTATCTGTTCAGTCATGTTTGTGGAGTCTGTTATTCACTTTTTAGAATTTTTTATACAAATTTATTGATTCTGTTATTTGTGAAGACACTTCTGATTCTTAGGCTCAAATATGATAGCCTACACTTTGTGGTTATTATATTGCCATTTTGAGAAGATTGTTTTTATTCGTCCTGGCACTTGGTTTCTGGGTCTTACTGAACCGATTTGATTTGTTATAGGATATAGGGATGTTTCTCTGTATGACTTTGAAGTACCCTTTAACATTTATGCTTGGGCAGTGGACAATTAGAATAATTCTCTCTATACCAGTACTTAGAATTCTTTAGAATTACTTTTCAGATGCTGAAGATATAAATGAATGTTTCTTTGGAATTCTTATCCAGAAAGGTAGCGTGGTTGTTTGGTAACACTTGGAGTCACAAACTCCACCAGCTTTTGTGCTGAAAATACCTTTGATGTTTTGTTCGGTGAGCACAGAGTTTAGAGAAGCATCAGAGAGGAAAGTTGTTGGACTGATGCAGTTAAATGTCAAGCATCTGCTGCGCTAGATGATATATTTAAGGATTCAGTCCTTGACAGGTTGACTCAGGAGTTGTCATTTGTTCTAACCCTTACTAGTTCACAAGGAGACAGCTCAACCTGTCATCATAGGATTTCTTCTTACTACAAAGGAATTTGACGTTTGGAACATTCACTGTTGATGGCAGAATTACAGTGGTACTGTAGGAGGGCCGTTGCATTTTGGATGTTTCACTGCTTGCTGAAATACTCACCCATTGAAGTAGTACTTTGTTTAAAAGCAAACAGTTTTAAATATTTTATGTTAAATTTAGAGCTTAATCATGAGGTTAAAACTCAAAAAATAAAGGTAAAATTTTCTCTTTACCTAAACTCCTGAATTTAGCAAGATGTTATGTTAGTTAGGTCAAACAGTGTAGGGGCTTGATTTTTCTCAGGAAGATTAGTTGAGTGATACAATTTCACTTAGATAAATATACCGAGCAATAGGATGCTTTCAAGCTAAAGATAATGTAAGGTAAACGAAAAGGCAAAAGCATGTCAGGAATATTAGAGTGGCAGAATTCTTTAAAAAGAAAATTACAAAACCTGGAGGTCAGGTCTGCTATAGTGATGTGGGAAAATAAAAACAATATATAAAGAAAGTGAGAGATGGAGACTGTGAACATTACTGAAGTACCTGTAGTTGCTGCCAGTTCAGAAGATGTGGATGTAAGCGTGGTGAGGAGCCAGTAACTTTTGTCTTCTTAGGGGAGCATTTCAAGAAAAGAAACCAAAGGAAAAAAGGCCTTTTATTTTCTGTTTAAATTAAATTCGGGCCCATCTGTTATCAGGGAAGTAAAAGACTACCCTCCCCCTGAAAAAGAACAACAACAACAAACCACAGCAACTCAGAGTTTGTGCAGTTGATGCCTTTCTCTTTGAATCCCAAGTTGCCCTCTTACAGTTTGAAATGGAGATTAAATCGTTTTACTTTGGTGTAAATATACTTAAATATGCCAGTGAATATACTTAAATAAATCCATTTTTATATCTAGTGTTAGGACTTTAAAACGATTATGTACCTACTAAATGTCAGATGCTCTGCTAATGACGACAGATACTGAAATGCTTTCCTTGGTCGCCTGCATGATGTTTGGATCTAGCAGCTAAAATATTCTCAGACAGGGAGCTGGTGGTATAATGCAGGGCAGGGGGCTCCTCAGGATTAAGAGGGGCCTGTTACCACTAAGCGTTGGAGGGCTATCAGGGAGAGTGTCGAGGAGGATCACCTGGAGTAAACCTTGGGGAAGATTTGGAGTGGCCCGTCAGAGAGCAGGAAATATTTATTATCAAGATAAGGCAGTGTGATTGTTTAGTGTGCCTTGAGTGTAGGTAGGGCAGTGGCAAAGTTGAAGGGGAATTATGGGCCAGACCATGAAGGCCTTTTAATCTTGAAAATTCCAGAGCTATAGACGAACAGTGACCAAGAAGTGACATCATTAGCTTGGCATTTCAGAAAGATCATTCTGGCAGCCCCAAGGAGCAGGGGCCAGGGAGGTGGAGCACCGGGAAAGGAGTTCCGTGCAGAGGGTTGTATTGGTACAGGAGTAATAAAGACCTGAAATACGGCCACATTGGAACAAAGGAGGCAAAGCGAGTGTGTCAGGGAACCAGAACCAACAGCGTTTTGTGACTGAATTCATGTGGCAGTGACAGGTGGGATAAATGGAGAATTGTAGCACCAGTTTGTCGTGAGGAGGTAGAATGGATTGAAATGCTTGTGGCACATTCCGGTGAAGGTGTCCAAAAATTGATATCACTTAGTATTACAGTTTATTACTTAGTTCTTAATACACATTTACCCAGTGCTGAGGCAGGAGCTATTCCCTTCATTGGGCCAGTGATGAACCTGAGGCCCAAAGAAGGTTGATACCTTCTCCCAGGTCACAAAGGAAGTAAGTGCCGAGCTAAAATTTGAGTTCTAGAAGTGATTGGATTCCCCACTCAGCTGTTTTAAGCTTTTAAATATATATAGATAGATAGATAGATATAGATATAGAGATAGATATAGATATATTTCAAAGAGGGAGAGGGAGAGAGAGATAGAAACATCAATGATGAGAAAGAATCATGGATTGGCTGCCTCCTGCACGCCCTCTACTGGGGATCAAGCCCACAACACCAGCATGTGCCCTGACTGGGAATCAAACCCGGACCTCCTGGTTCATACGTCAACGCTCAACCACTGAGCAACACCAGCCGGGCTGTTTTAAGCTTTTGCTTTTTTGATTACATAGAGATCTGGTTTGTAGGACAAAATTATAGCCTGGAGATAGGTACTTGGGAGTTAACCAGTTTACATACGGGGATTGAAACCACTGTCCCAGGAGAGGCCTTGGAGTTCATGTGAGTTCACCGAGGTTACAGCTTCATTCTCAAAAGGAGTAGGTGGGCTTGGAAAAGAAACTGACCAAAAAGATAGGAGGAACAGCCAGAAAGAATTGTGCTACAAAGCCAAATTGGGTGGAGTTTTTCTCTCTCTCTCTTTTGTTTTTATAAAGAAATGAAATCATAAACAGTTCTAAAATCTTGAAAAATACAGCCACCTATATCCAATAGAAGTCACTGGTGATGCCTACCAGAACAGTTTCAGTTAATTTATTCAGAAAGAGAATGACAGGGGCTGGGGAATGAAAGGAGGTGAGATCACAAATCCATAGAACTGCCTCCCCTCTGTGCAGGAAAAAGAGGCATTTGGGGTGAGAGATGGAGGGTTTTTCTACTCATGGGTGAGACAAGATCACCTGTGTATGAATTTAAAGGATCATCTGTCTAACGTAAGAATTTTTTTAAGCAAAACTATAATGTGAAATGCTCTTTAAACTTCACAGAACATTGTACATCCATGGACACACCAAGTTGGATTTCACAGTCTGGCATGCTGCAATTGAGAAAGCAGCAGGTACAGATGGAAATGCTTTGCAGGATCAGCAGCTCAGCCAAAACGATGTTCCCATCATCGTGAACAGCTGTATAGCATTTGTTACGCAGTATGGTACGTATCACCGAGTTTTCATCCAACCCCCAGACTCATGGTATCACTCTCACAGTTTTTAAATGGTACCCATTGGACTGAATGAGAGCCTTTTATATGTGTTAAGTATATCAATGAAAATATAAATGTAGTCCCTGTTCAGTTAAATGCCATTCCTTTGCCCAGTAAAACGCATTTAAATGATATAACGTATTTTAACTATTTTCTGCTTCCTTTATGCGCATAAACATTTAAATAACATATTGAAAGAATATATGTTGTGAAATGTATATTAAAAATAGGTTAAAGACTGTTTTTCAGATGTTACAAGCCCACGGTGAAACCTAGGGGAATGCAGTGTGCTGCCTCGGCATGTTTTTAGAAGTGGTGAATGCTGGGACAGTATGGGAAAGAATTTTTTAGCAGGCATACAAGTGTGTATGTATTTATTTTAGTTACCGTACTATTGGTCACATGGATATTGATTGTAACAGTTTTGACTTAATTATAACATTTTCTTTGAATAGTGTACAAGTAAAAAAAAAAAAAAACCCAAACAGCTCGATACCTACATGGTCCAGTTTTATTGATGTGCTAAGGTAGTATTTTAGATATGCCCGAAGAATATAAGTATACCTTTATTCTTCATGTTCAATTTCAAATTACTATGTATTCTTCCAAGTCCTTCTTTCTGTTACATATTTCCTTAATACTGTAGAAGATAGAAAAGTCTTAACTATTTTTTTAATATAAAAATATTTCTACTTTTAATTTGCAGATAAATGCCATTGAGTTACATTGTAAAGGTAGAAAAGGGTAAAATGATTGATCTGGTATTTCGGAAGGTGTAGTAACTTTATTTGTTCTCTGTATTCTTCAAAGTGCTTCTTTCTGTTACATATTTCCTTAATACTGTAGAAGATAGAAAAGTCTTAACTACTTTTTTAATATAAAAATATTTCTACTTTTAATTTGCAGATAAATGCCATTGAGTTACATTGTAAAGGTAGAAAAGGGTAAAATGATTGATCTGGTATTTCGGAAGGTGTAGTAACTTTATTTGTTCTCCTAAAATTAGAAATGCGTTTGGGAGTTTTTAATTTGAAAGAGATTATCTCAGTGAGAGAGCTGCAGTGAAACACAGTGTTGCTGGTTCCTTACTTCTTTGGGTGTCTGTTGTGTGCCAGCCGCTGACCTTGGTCCTGGAAATGCAACCATAGGAGTAGGAAGTTAAAGACAAATCCATGAATCATGTGTTTCTGCTTGAGAACTGACAATAAATTGATTGATATGTACCAAAATACCAGAAATAACAAAAAGAAGAAAAGAATTTCTGAAAATTTGTAACGTGTATGTTAATCTACTTTCTTCTAAGAAGAGCACTATCTTACGTGGTTTTACTTATTTCATATGTAATCCAAGAACAGTTATCATTAATATTCAGATTTGTTGTGTGTTTAAATTATATGTCTAATGTGACTATGTATTTAATCACTTTATGTGGGCATTACTGTGAGGTTTCTTCCCATGGTAATATGTGTATGTATCTTACCAGCTGTAATCATCTGTTTAGTTGGAAATGGGGGAGAAAGGCGGTCATCATCTTCATTTTATTCCTTATTCGGTATTAGTGCACTTGCATTCTGCAGGTGTGAATGAATTGCACACGTTATGTTTTGTCATGAGCATAACCTCACTGGGAATTTTTACATCGTGTTAGTTTCATAATGGCACAGAGTCTCTCGTAAGCTGACAAATGATTAAAATAACTCGACTATCTCTAGTGAATACAATTTCATGTTTCTCTAGGGAAATCAGAAGCTACTTTGTGATGTTTGTTTGAGTTTAAAATCATTAAGCATTAGATTGTTTTCAACTAAATTTCATACATTATGTCTACTTTGTAACACTAACACAAGGTACATTAACTTGCATATTACAGTAATAGAACCAGCGAAAGACTTTATTTTTTTAATGTTTTTAATGAGCAGAACATGGGGAAAACCCCAATCTTATTAGAAAATGTCCAGTGATTTTAGGATGTAGGTGGTCAGCCCAGAGCCTTTTAAGTCACACTTATTTTGAACTTTCTGACTTTGGGGTTAAAATTTAAAGGCCACTTTTTGTGTGTGTGTGTGTGTGTGTGTGTGTTCATTGTGTCAATATTTGAACTTGAAAGAGTTCACAGTATAACTTTTAGAATTTTAATTTTTTTAAATGAGTTGCAATAGTTAGTTCTTGGGGGAAATTAATTTATGTAATTCACATTCAGTTAACTTATTTGATTACCAGCTATTAGAAATTCACTTAACTAGGAACACAGTATCTCAGAAACATAGTCATTATTGTTTTTTTGTAGAATTCGCTTATTCTTGCATTAAGGGGTTACTTATTGAATACCTGCTGAGTTCTTCTAGGCACTAGGTAACTACTTTCTACAGAGAATAAACAGGACTCTTGCCATCTAGGACTTTACAGATGTGTGGATCAAAGACAAACAAGTGGGCAGTTACATCCCAAGTGTACAAACTTCTGTGGCAGAGAGGCTCTGGGGTTGGTACAGGAGTAAATCGCACCCAGAGTAGGGGGCATCATGGAGGGCTGCATGGGTGAGGCGGTGCCTACCCTGAGTCTTAAGAGAAAATAGGAGCTTATTAGAAGGTAGAGGAGGAAACAGTGTGTGCCCATGTGTGGAGTCATGAGGGGCAGTGTCTTTTCAGGGAACTCTGTGTAGTTAACTGTGCCCAGAACTTGGTGTGAGAAGAGGGGAAAGATAAAAGAGGCCGGAGGGTAAGGAAAATTCACGTAGGGACTTATATGTTGTAATTAAATCCTCACACTAGCCTTGTAGGCCGTGAGAGGGCATTATGCAGATTTTTAGTCATGTGGTGACACTCAGGTGGACCTGTATCTTAGATCATACTGGCATTGTCGAGACAGACGGGCTGCACAAGAATATGGGCAGGGAGTTGTAAAAATCTAGTAAGGAACTGAGTGGACAGAACAGCAGCCTGGAGGAAGGAAAGAAGGGAGGTCATAATGAAAAATCTATGTGACATAGTTGTTCATTTGTTTTTGGTTTTCTAAATCTGGAATGTGAGAAAGAAAGGTTCTGAGTTGGAAAGGATTGGGGAGAAGGCGATGCCATATATCAAGATAGAGGAACAAATAAAGAACAGGTAGAGATTGGGAGGTGAAGTAGTGAACGGAGCTGGGAAATTAATTTCTTTATTTTGATTGGTCCATATGTGTAAGTATGGTATGTGTGTGTATGTGAGTGTGTGTTGCATGTATATGGTATATGTTTCTTGAAATGTATTTGTGTGTGTTTCAGTCTTAGAAATTAAAACCTGGGTGAAAAAGTATATGTAAGTGGTTAAAGTAATGATGTTAGGTGGGTTTACCCAGATAATTCTGTGGGGAGTGGGGAGTGAAGAGCATTGAGTTTGGATTCTGGGAATCACCAGTAAATACTAGAGCAGAAACAAATGGTAGGGTGGAAGAGTAGCCATAGAGGAAGAGCTGGGGAATATGGTATCATTATGCCATGAAGGCCATGATATTAACATAATTCTCATGCAATTCATTTGGAGTGTCAAACGCTGCAGGGGATTCTCATTAGATAAAAACCAAATAGCATCTAGAAAATAGGTTGTCATTGATATTCTTGATGAAGTTTGTCCTAATAGAGTGGGAATTGGGCCTTTGATGAATCAATAATTTTGTAAAAATGAAGACCAAACTCTTTATCTAGAACAGCGGTTCTCAACCTGTGGGTCGCGACCCCTTTGGGGGTCGAACGACCCTTTCACAGGAGTCGCCTAAGACCATCGGAAAACACATATATAATTACATATTGTTTTGTGATTAATCACTATGCTTTGATTATGTTCAATTTGTAACAATGAAATTGGGGGTCACCACAACATGAGGAACTGTATTAAAGGGTCGCGGCATTAGGAAGGTTGAGAACCACTGATCTAGAAGAAGGTGAAGGTGGGAACAGGCAGACATTAATATGCAAATTAATGGGCAGAGGATTGAGGAAATTTATAAGGGGGAGCCTCACTTTTGTCAGGGAAAGGGGAGGCAAGTTTGTATCCCAGGGACTAAGCGAAGATAGAGCACTGGCTATAAAAGTACAATTTAAAAAGATACTATGAACAGCTGGGCAAAGGGCTGACCAGAGTCTTGTTAAAAGCCAAGGATGGAATATTTCATCAGGTTTACCCTGTAAATACTAAAATTAGGGGGACAAGCCTTCCCCCCTCAGACATGTTTATATCAACTCAGGTAACGATTTCTTCTTGCTCATCATCCCAGCACAAAAATGTGTTCAAATTTTTAAGGTATCAAAGTGGATTTTGATTTTAGACTTTTTTTCATATAATCTTTTTTCCTTTTAAACAAAGGTACTTCCCCCCTCAGACATGTTTATATCAACTCAGGTAAAGATTTCTTCTTGCTCATCATCCCAGCACAAACATATGTTCAAAGTTTTAAGGTATCAAAATGGATTTTTATTTTTAGACTTTTTTTTTCATATAATCTTTTTTCCTTTTAAACAAAGGTTTAGGGTGCAAATATATCTATCAAAACAGTGGCGACCCTTTGCACGTAAGTGAACTCCTGGAGAGTTTCAAAAAAGATGCCAGAAGCTTTAAATTGAGGGCTGGAAAGCATCAGCTTGAAGATGTGACGGGTGTGCTGAAAAGGTTTCTGTCCGACATCGACGATGCGCTTCTCACTAAGGAGCTCTATCCATATTGGATCTCTGCTTTAGGTAATACACGTCATGTATATAATCATAAAGGCTTGTCTTTTAACTGGCTAGCTAGGTTTTTAAACTCTTCTTTGATGATCTGAAGTTTTAATTGGAGGCGAAAATGTACATATGAATCAGAAGAAAAATTGTGTAAATATCAGCAGTTGTTTATATTCATCTAAAAAGAAATTTATACTAATAATTGCTAAGTAATGTTTTATATACTTAGTTTTCTGTGGGTTTCTTAGTTCTTACTCTACTTGAAGTTGGGAGGTGTTATAAGCAAGTCCATGTATGCTATTAATTTCTCATTGAGGTTAAAATGGAAGTTTCAATACAAGGTTGGTTTTCTAAGATTTTATGGCTCTTGTGGCTTTTCTGTGTCATTTATTCTTCCTCTTTGGAGTACATAATGACAATTTTTTTACTCTATTATTTTCTCTAGATTCTGTTTAATGAAGTTAAAAAGCTTTGCTACAGTGTAAGAGAACCTGTTTAAGAAATTACTCTAGAAAAGTAGTTCATTAAATGACTAATTGGGCCAAAATGATTTCAGTAAATCTGTATTTATATTGAGTAATTCAAAACAACTCCTTTTATAGGAACATTATAACAATACTTTCAAGTATAGTGTCTTTAATTCCACCTTTCTACTAGAACTAATTTTACATTTTATTTTATCGTCTTTGCCCCACACCTATAACTTATATATAAATCTTCATTTTATTAACAAATCACAAGCATTTTCCATATATTTAATGCTTTCAAAATGATTTTCAATCTTTTTTTCAATTTTTAAGATTTAACATTGAATTATACCACAATTTACTAATATATTTCTTGCACTTTAATCTGTTTTAAAATTTGATAATATATTCCTTTATTAAGGTATGGGTATTTTTTCTTTGAAAATATTTGCTTATTCTAAAACACAAATGTGATATTTGAAGGGATTAATTTTGAAATGATATTACAAAACATTCATAATTTGAAAAATTATCCTAAGAATGACCCTTACTAGTGCCAGCAGGAAGAGTAGTATTATTAAAATAAAGCTTTCTAAATTTTACATAATTCAGAAGTCTTTTATTTGCTCCCTAAAATTTCTCAAATCAATAGGTTTTTAACTCGAATCACAAGAAGAGTTGATTGTGTAATTCTCTGGGATATAAAATATGGAATTAGATGATACATCTCTGTAAGCCCTGTTAACATGCCATCCTCATTTTTCTTTTAAAAAGATTTTATTCTAATTTATAACCATGAAATTATTTATAGTATCTGTCTTATAAATACATACAGTGTGTCTTTATTATAAAATTAGTGGTCAAAAATCTGTGACAAATATGTTTTTGCTGAAGTTTCAGATTCCCTGACAAAGATGTCTTTGATGTCAGTCTGTCAGGAGGAGGGAGGTGGGAAATGATAGCGTGTGTCAGAGGAGAAAGTATTCACCTTTCACTTGGATGTGAAGTCTTTGAGAATTGACTTGGAGAAGGCTTTGACTATGGAGTCAAATAGCCTTAAAGTACTTTTCGTTTAAATCCAATATAGCTCTGGCCCTGACCTTTCAGAAGGGCCCTGTGCTGGATCTGACCAGGCTCAACCAGACTCTCTGGGTGACCTCGTAGGAGAGCTCTGTTGGGTCCCGTGCAGCCAAGACCAGGAAATCCTTACAGTGGCGTCGCACCTGTTTATCTGATCTATGCGTTACTCTTCTAAGAATGCTATTAAATTGTCTGGTGTCTGTGGCTAGTTGGGTAGTTCATTATACTTTCTCTGTGACCTGAATCTATCTTAAGCTTTGCTTTCTACTTTTTAAGCTTTGTTTTGGAAATGTCGTTTATTTTCTTTTTATAAGATTTATGAAAATTTACTATATTAGCCTGACTTCTTGTTATAAGTGTAGTAATATGAATTACTTTGTATTGAATAATACAATTACTCCTGCAGTTAAAAACTGGATGTCATGAGGGTAAATGTTTGATTATACTAGGGATGATAGTTAATTCTTAATCTAGTAGAATCTCTGAATGTAATTCAGGTGTTTGCCCCCCTTGCTTTTAGAGAGTCATTCACCTACCAGCGCAGGTAAGACGGTGTTTACTTTCATAGATCTCTGCAGGCTAACTCGGAACAAAGGAGCTCTCAGGTGTAGTTTTGAATAGGAGTGCATTTCAAAAACATGTCATGGGGTATCTTACCTCTCCAAGGATCCTAATGCCCTTTAGTGATGACCATGTACTTTTAAAGATTCATCAATGTGCTGCTGGCTCTCTGTGAATAGAATAGGCAGGGCTAAATGGAAAATGAAGAAGTCTTGTTTCTAACGGTAGTTGGGAATTGAGCAGGAGTATGTAAGTGCAATCCCCTTGAGTTACGAAGTCAGCATAAGTTATTTATTTGAAGAAAGGTCTTTTATTTCCCCCATGTGAGCTAGTAGGTTAGACCAAACCACCATTACATATGTTCTTGAGACGAGAACTTTGGGGGTTCCTGTGTCTAATTTTTCCAAGTATTTGACTTCCTGGGGTTGGGAGAGCAGAGAGAAATCTGTCCCTGTCCTCTCTTCCACGATTCACCAAGTCTGTTCATGCCTTAGGCAGAGGGTCCATCCTGCTCTAAGTCAATATCATAGTTACCTATTCTCCTCTTGTCTGCTTTCCTTTTCCAACAAGTTGAAAGTACCGGGGCTGCTGGGTAATTCACAGTTCATAGCTCTCGGATGATTTTAGTTTGGGGAAGATTTTTATGATTTCACAAGAGAAAAACAGGACAGAAATGTCATTTTAACATACAAATAGTGAAATCTTTCCACAGCCAGAGTTAAACTATTTTTTAAAAATGCATATTTTATTGATATCAGAGAGGGAGGAAGGAAGAGGGAGAGAGAATCATTGACTGGCTGCCTCCTACACATCCCCTACTAGGGATCGAGCCTGCAACCCGGGCAGGTGCCATAACAGGGAATCAAACTATGACCTCCTGGTTCATAGGTTGATGCTCAACCGCTGAGCGACACCAGCCCGTCACAGAGTTAAAATACTTTTTGCTTATCTCTTCAATTTTCACTCCACTCTGAGTTATTGAGTGTATTTCTATTAGATGAAGTTCAATAGTCCAAAAAGTAGAAGATAAAATACAACCCTGAGTTTTGAAAGTACTATATTTTTAATTAACAAAGTATAAGAAGTATAGCATATAGCCATGGAATGTTTATGTAAGTCCTTTTCCAGAATTATAGAACTTTGCATATTTTTATTGAAATGTGCTTATATCACTTAGTGAAATGCAATTGTAATATTGTTTTATAATACTGTTAAAAGGCAAATTTGTAACACAGATTAATATCTTAGGCCTAAAGATTTTTTTTTTTAACCTCTAGATACCCAAGATGACAAGGAAAGAATTAAAAAATATGGAGCATTTATAAGTACTCTTTCAGGGGTCAACCGAGCAACATTGGCAGCTATAATTGAACACCTTTACAGGTGGGTGGATTCATGAATTTTCTAATTTATTTTAAACCTGCCACTTGATAAGTCATTATTTCTGAATTTAAAGTACTGTGGTTCACTTTCTACATGTGACTGCAAATCGTTCACTCAATCTTAAGAATGGTTTCAAAGTGAAATTCCAACTAACTATCACTTTAGTGTCCCTTTCTGTAATTAAGATGCATTTCAAATAAATAGCACTAGAGAGTTTCTTAAAATGAGTTAAACATTATCATATATAGCATCCTCAAGTGCATAAGCAAGAATTTGAAAGCTCATTTAAGAGGGAAGTCAAAGAGAAGGAAGTCCAGGGGCCAGGCTTCTTTAGCAGGACTCTGTGTGTGAGTCCTCGTCTCATGGTGGACTCTTCCTAAACTCTTATCTCTTCATCATCAGTTTGCATCTAACCTGCCTCTAATAACTCATTTAAGAGGGAAGTCGGAGAAGAGAAGGAAGTCCAGGGACCAGGCTTCTTTAGCAGTACTCTGTGTGTGAGTCCTCCTCTCATGGTGGACTCTTCCTAAACTCTTACCTCTTCATCATCAGTTTGCATCTAACCTGCCTCTAATATGTTGGTGTCAGACTGTGGATCAGATGAGGACACTTTAAGAGCCAAACTCATTTTCCATGTCAGGGCATGTAGTCCTCTGCATTTGGGAGGGTAGGAGGAGTATAATGGTAGCTTGAGAAATGACACCTGAAGGAAGAGGATATTTGAAAATAACCTTTCAGGTTAAAACCAAAGGTTTGTTTTGCTATCAGTGAAAATTAATTACAAAAACCTCACTAAGTATAAACATTGCTTAAGGAATATATTCCTGCGTGGATGCAACACTCCCTTGAATGAATTTCTGTGAAGCTGAATTCTGCTCACAGTACTTCGTTTGGAGTCTGTATTCAGAAAACCTCCACAATTCTTTGTCTCTTCACCTTTTCCAGCTACCGCTTTTCATGCATGTAAGCTCTGTTACTGTAAAACTAATTTTCTTACTGGGCCATCCATATAAATATAGTTCTTATAGTCCCATTTTGTGCCTGTGAGACATTGGGGCAGATTGTGTTTTATTCAAAAATTTTAATAGTGACCAGGTTCCTACAGTTTATTAATGAGTTACATATTATTCTTATCATTCTTAATTCAGATTTGAATTTGAGATAATGAATTCCTTCCCATCTTTCCTCTCGCTCTCCTTTTCTTCAACTAACATATATTTTACCTTCTATTGTGTACAAGTCAATGCCTATTCAAAGTCCATGTGAATAGAAATATTTGATAATCTACACTAATAAAAGAGAAACATGGTAATTAGCGTACGACCGCTACCCTTTTCATTGGCTAATCAGTGAGTATATGCAAATTAACTGTCAGCCAAGATGGCGGCCGGCAGCCAGGCACTGAAGCGAGCACAAGGCTTGCTTGCTGCGTCCTGGGACTTCACAGTGACCTCGTGGGGTGCTATAGGGCATTTTATGTTTCCTAAGGAACACAGCAACATCAGGACAGATTCTATTACAGAGAATTTTAGCATGAGGCATGGGCTTATAGAGGAGGCGTTGATGCATTCATTGTGTGTTGAGGTCCAGAGATACTTCTGATTTTAAAGAGACACGAACTGGGCATGAAATACTAAGACATGAGCGAAGTGTGTTTTTTAGGAAATAGGTGTTTTGGGAGACAAGATGGTTTGTAGTTGTCTGGCAGGAGGTTGTGAAATGCTCTATCCATCATGGAAAAACATGTTGGATTTTATTCCTTGAAGTGATCAGGAGTGACTGATTAAATCTGCTTTAGGATAATAACCCCCACAATGGGATGGGTTGGGAAGAGGTTAGAGTAGAGGCAGAGAAACTAATCAGGAAACAGTTTCCTTGGGCTTCTGCTGAGAAGGCCTGAGTGAGAAGACACTGAGCAAGTGGAATAGGGAACACTGGGGGATGCTAACCTGTGGGAGCTGAGAAATAAAGGAAAATACTATATTGTACATACTCTTGCCAGAAATGAAGGCAGCTTCAGAAAGTAGAGGGAGATGAAGAGTACCAAAGGAGAATGCTTTTGCAGAGGGAAGTCTCGAGAAAGGTGGTGATGTCTGATAGTGTCATCAGAAGTTTGAGGTTGGTTTGGATAGGTCAGGTTGATCGAGCACTTAATTCCATCTTTTCCGTAGAAAAAAGATCACTTCCCCATGACTAACATCTCCTTCATTCCATTCACAAGATATTTATTGTGCACTGTAGTGTGGTTAAAGCAGCATTCTCCGACTATAAGATGCTTGAATTCTAGGAACAGAGGCAGACTTGCAGGTAATTTTCCAGATATTCACACCATAGTGTGGTTAGAGTACAGAAGTGGTTGTGAGAGGGGTGTCCACAGTTACTACATTCTTCTCTATCAACTTGTAATTCTTTGTGCATCTTGTAAATCCTATAGGATGAAGACACTTGATCCATCTCTGCTATGTCATTTGGCATTTTTTTTTGTTTCTTACATTATCATATGTATTGCTGTCATGTTTACTCACTTCTTGTACCTACTAGAATCTCTGTTCTTACAGGCAGGTGTACCTTCCTTAGTCTTGCTTATTTTTTTTGATGGAGTTGGTCTCCCTTGTATAGTATGTGTCCTTAAAGTTTGCAGATGTCATTAGGCTATTAAGCAGCTGCTATATGTACAGCCAGTATCAAATAGGGAGCATTAATAGGTACTTCCCTGTGCATGACTTCCTGTTCTCAACTCAGGCGTTTTTATCAGTGTAAATGTTCTTTTATTATGGTGATGACCATATATGTTTTCCTTCATCTTTTTGAACTTACATTTGTGACTACTTTAAATGATCTTTATAGGACTCAAGGGTGGTCTCCTGATTGAGAGATTTGACTCCTATTCACTTCTCTTCATTAGAAGAAGACATTCTTGGTTATTATATTCAAGAAAAGTGTAGTTGTGTTTTTAAATTAGGTATTTGTTTTTTGAGAGCTAATATCCTATTTTGAATAATCATACAGACATAGCTGCCAGGTCTATTTCTCATTTAATAATACACATTCCGGGACATTCAGCCCAGCCCTGAACACTGAATTTGGAACTCTCTACTATATACCTCCTGATTCACCTTTCTTGCCTTGTTTCCTATTTACCCGCCACCCTGTTTTTCCTCTTTCATTTATGCTTCAGGCCCACGGGTCTTTTCTATTCTGCAAGCATACCTTTATGCCTTAGCCATAGGTTGTCCCATTATCTGGAGTTGTTTGGATACTCTAAATCAACACTCAAGTACTACTTTTTAACTTGTAGTGATATTCTTGAACAGTAGTTTTTTTCTTATGTTCTTAACCACACTGTTAGCTACTTGGAAGAAAGAACTGTGTTGTTGTTTTTTTCTTTACATCACCACTGTGCCCTTTGTATCTGAGACCTTCAATATCTGTTAAAATGATAAATGAGTATTATGACTTATAGTTCTATGAAACTTTCAAATAGAAGTGTGTCATAATGAGCTATGCTTTTCTTCAACAGGGTTCAGAAATGCTCAGAAATCAATCACATGAACGCCCATAATTTGGCCTTGGTCTTTTCATCCTGTTTGTTTCAAACTAGGGGACAAACTAGTGAAGAAGTGAATGTAATCGAGGACTTAATTAATAATTATGTTGAAATATTTGAGGTAAATATTTTATATCTTGTTCTCATAAAAATAGTTTTCTTGTTACTGTTTGCAAGCAAAAATACTTATTTTAGGATGTTTTTATTCAGATCTTTATGACTATTTAAAAATAAAGACAAAGTATTAGTTATATTTGATCTTTAATTTTTTAGATACAGCTAGCTTTTTAAAGTATAGTCATTGATTTAAACATTGATTTAAACTTTTAAAGCTGTTTTACCATCTGGTGTCTGTTGGACAGAATATTTCTATTTACAGTGTTTTTATGTGTGTGTTTTTTTTCCCTACTCAGTATGTGTGTATGCACTAAGTATGTGTACTTAGAGGTGTGAAATTATGAATTTACAAATTCAGTAATAAATGTCAGGCTGTTACATTCTGCAGTTGAAAGTGTTTCCATGTTTTCTTTTCACTGTGCACTGAATTGGAAAAAATGAAAATTCTGAAATATTGCTCTATGGGCTTTACTAAGTCATCTCTGTTCTAATTATTTGACTTTTCAGTTTGCTATTTTATGAACGCCAGGCTGTTACATTCTGCAGTTGAAAGTGTTTCCATGCTTTCTTTTCACTGTGCACTGAAGTGGAAAAAATGAAAATTCTGAAATATTGCTCTGTGGGCTTTACTAAGTCATCTCTTCTAATTATTTGACTTTTCAGTTTGCTATTTTATGAAGTTAATATTTTCATGTTTCATTAGAAAACTGTTAGTATGGGGATGGTTTCTTAGTTCAAAGACATACAAATAGAGGAAGCAAACCCAGGCTTTGGAACTGTAGGATATACCGGGATCTAGCACCATTATTATTTCTGGCATCTCAGTTTTGTCATTTATCCTTTTTGAGTATTCCATTAAATGGTGTTCTATAAGATGCCTTGTTTTCCACGGCTGTAGGTACACCAGATGAAATGAAATGGATTAATATAATAGGTTACTACTTGTAAAGTTCTACATTCTTATAATAACTGGTCACAATATTCCTTAGCAAAGGGAAGGAAACTGTATTTTAATAAAGGAAAATAACCGTTTGTAACTTAATTTATATAGGAAAGGACACCAGAGCTGTCGGATTCTCTTTGATCTTCTTTTTATTTCTTCCTATATGTGTTCACTGTTTTTGATCAACAGCAACCTCTGTGCAATAATTCTGATGCTGAGAAATGAAAGAATTAGGAAAAAGTGTGTTGCTTTTGCATGCTATCTTTATTGTTTATATGTGTACTGTTTCATTGATTAAAAAATAAATGGCTGTCTTCATGGGTTTGTTAAATCCAACTTTAAATGGTGGAAATTTCAAAAGCACTTAATAAATATTTTAGTTTGAGAAACGATTCTTGTCTCTCAACTTACATAGACTCCACAAACCAGTCATCTGCCCCTTTGCTTATTAAACTGCCTCGGCAAAGGGGCTTCCATTGATGGGTTCTGTAGCCTGAAGTAGCATCATCATAAAATGTTCTGACCTTTACGCAGCTCTGTGTGGTTGGCTTTAAGTCTGCCCTTGCTGTGCGGGCCTGCACGGATTGAGATGGCCATTCTCATTTATTTTCACTTGTTGGTCTTTAAATTCCTGAAGAAGCTTATGTGAGGATGAGTACCATCACTCCATGTATTTTATTAGAATGTCCCAAATTATATTTTAAACAGGTTAAAGAAGACCAAGTCAAACAAATGGACATAGAAAATAGCTTTATTACCAAGTGGAAAGACACTCAAGTGAGTAGTAATAGTTAGATCTCCAGAGAATAAACAGAATTTTTCAAAAAAAACCCCAAAACTTCCATTGTAAGTAGATACATTTGTTGTGTTTATTGTCAAGTTTCTATTTGAAGCAAAGTAAAATTAATGGGCAAGGAGACCCAACATAAAAATAGTTACGTAATTCAGCAGCATGATGCATAGATGCAAAATGCCAAAGTTCATTCATGTAAATTTTTCAAAATATAAAAGGAAAAAATCAGTGTTAATCTTATCAGAATATCCTTTTAAAAAATCAGTTTTCATTTATAAAAGCACTATTGAAAATGTCAGTGGATTTCACAGGAAGCATTTAAAGCCAAAAATACTAGAGTAAATTGAAAATTCAGACTCCCTAGTGATTCTATCCATTCTGATTTTGAACATATAAATTATTTCTTATATGCTTTTGCTTTGCCTGCTCTTGGATGATTGTATCAGTGGGAATGTTTCATGTGATCTCTGTAACATATGCTAATTTATGTCTGAAGTTGACGTTTCTAGATCTTCTCTCGTTTTCCTCACTCCCGTTATATTGGCTTTGTGTGTTCACGCTGCCCTACACTTTTCCAGGATGCCTCTCTCCTTATTTGAAGACTGTTCATTGGCCTTGCTTAAAATCAATCTTTAATCCTCTTTACTGGATGTTGTAGAGCAGTGGTTCTCAACCTTGGCTGCACATTAGAATCACCTGGGAATCGTTTTAAAATCCTGATTTCTGGGCCTCATCCTCCGGAAATTCTGTTTCTTTGAATTTCCGGAGGATGAGGCCCAGAAATCAGGATTTTAAAAAGATTCCCAGGTGATTCTAATGTGCAGCCAAGGTTGAGAACCACTGTTGTAGAGGATTCAGGGTACCAGTGTAAATAATAGAAATCGGTCTAATATATTCTATTTATTAGATGCACTCAGAGAACGAGGCAAATGCTGCCTTATTAGTCAAACCTTAAATCCACCTCAGTACTGAACGATCCTCTCCTAATTAGAGAGGCCACCTGAGCTATCATTCTGTATGAAGGAGATGAGGAAAAGCCTTCATTCTAGTGCCTAGATCCCTGAGTGCCAAGGCTCTGAAACTGATTTCCTGAAGGAGTCTTTCCTCCCTTTTGACCCAAAGTAATTAACACAGCCTGCAGGGGAGTTAGCTGTAACACTAAAAACCTGGCTCATTATTAGCTAGTTCTCTTGGGTTCTTGCTTGTTGGGGAAGAGTTTCATTCATGAACTAAGGGATTGTGTGAGCCCAAGAGATCTTCTTTGACAGCATTATCTGTGCTGTTTTACATAAAGCACGAGGACCCCTCTGCATTTTTATATTCATAGTACTTCTTCCATATTCATAGTACAATAAGGGAATGAGTTTGGAATGTGTTTCTACTTCCGTATAAGACAGAAGAATAAAATATTATCTATAAAATAGAATAATTGGGGGAGGAAAGTAGCAGTGTTTAGAAAAATCTCTTATTCGCTTGTGTTTTTCTCTGTTTCCTCCAACTCTCCTCTGGAGTATTTTTCTGACAGTTTCTATGTCTTATCCCTGCTCAACTTTCTTAGCTGGGCTTGTTTTTGGCTTCACTCTATGAGTTTGTGGTGTTTGCTTTTTTAATTTTTAAAAATGTGTCCTTCCTGGAGAGTTGTTTATGCAAACACAATGAAAAGTAAAAATGTCACCTGTATTTTCACTTCCCTAGGATTTTTGTACAGCATCAAAAGTGAGAAAGAAAAATGGGAAATCAGTTTTTCTAAACCTACAGTGTCAAAATAATTAAGAACTCGTTTCCAAAGTACATTTTTAAAGTTTTCCCCACAAATTTACTCAGTAGGTTTTACTCTGAGGCAAATTTAACTTCAGAATGAGCCTTTCTCCATTAAAGATTAGAGGATGGATATTATTTCCAAGTGGTTATACACTTAAGGGAATTTCTGGAAAAAGCTACTCAAAATATGTTTCAGAGATTCGTGTGGTTCTTTAACTTTCACATTATATTGTCAATCCATGACGATATCTTATTCTTTTTATATTCTGGCTTGTATCTTCTTCACTTAGAATGTCTTCTCAGGTATAATAGTGACCCAAAATGCCACTAATGCTTGGCTAAAGAGAATTAAAAACGTATCTTTATTATCTACCTTATTACTTCACTTCCATTTTTTTTCTTTCTAAATATACTTTTTCTATTTGTAGTTTTAATACAAATCTAACCTAATTTACTCTCAGATTTCAATTTTTGGACATATTATCTCTGAAAATTTAGCAGGGCATATTTTCCCTTTAAATTGTTAGTATTAGACCCATACTATAGCTTAGAGCAGAATTCTATATGGCTCATTTTATGTTCTTATTTTGCTGAACAGCTTCTGTTTTCGTAGCAAACATAATTTCATTCTAGCCAGATTCATTATTTCTGTAAGAATATAAGGGTGTTTGAGAACTCTCAACTCTTCAGTAAGAGAGAAAAAGCCTCACTGTGACTTGTTGCTGATTGTAACATTTCTGTACATTCCTTGTCCTTAATCCACCATATCTGGTGAATGGGTACCATCATGCTCTTACTGGAGATTGGCTTCTTTTATTATTATAAAATATTTAGAGATAGGACTGGGACTTTGTCATAAGTGTTGTATGTGTGTTCTTGCAACAGACTTACACTTGCTCTCTTCACATCTGCCCTTTTCCAGGTTTCCCAGGCTGGAGATCTGTTAACTGAAGTGTATGTGGAGAGGAAGGAGCCCGACTGCAGTATTATAATCCGGGTGAGTCCAAGAGATGGAGGTAAAGACCACTGTTGGAAATTGCAGGTGTTAGAACAGCCGTGGGCAAACTACGGCCCTCGGGCCGGATCCAGCCCGTTTGAAATAAATAAAACTAAAAAAAAAAAAAAAGACCGTACCCTTTTATGTAATGATGTTTACTTTGAATTTATATTAGTTCACACAAACACTCCATCCATGCTTTTGTTCCGGCCCTCTGGTCCAGTTTAAGAACCCATTGTGGCCCTCGAGTCAAAAAGTTTGCCCACCCCTGTGTTAGAATGAATTTACACGTTCTGAATTTTTTATTGTTTCTTAATAGCTAATGTTACTTGTCCATTTCAAACCATGACTGATACCGGATGGACTTTTTAAACCAGTTTCTTCTGGGAATTCCATGTTTCAGTCATTTGGAAAGGGCACATCTCATGTGCTTTCAGTTAAGGTTAGGATTTTTTGTAGGTACTAGAAAACAACCTTAGCTTACATGTTTGCTCCTTTCCTTCTTAGGTTCTTAACTTTAGGCAAGTTACTTATTCTATTTGCGCCTCTATCTTCTCACCTGTAAAGTGAGGAAAAAGTACAGTATTTACATTGTAGCATTGATATGAGGCCTCAATAAACCAATACGTGTAGAACACTTAGCAAATTGATCAACACACAACTGTTTAATAACTATTACTGTTATTATTATTATTCTCTCACCCTTGTACCCTATACTTTGGCTTTTAGTCTACCAATTTTCTTGAGTATTGGATAACTCTGTTCTTTCCTAAGACTATTATTCATTTTTGTTAAGGAATTAAGAAAATCCTGTTATGCTATCATAACTAGTACTTAGTTTGCCTTGGGAAGAATAACCATGATATTTCAAATTCCTACTCAGTAGGAATACATTCTCTGTCTAAGGAATAGACATTCCGCCATGTAGCAGGAGAGATTCAGCTTTATCTTCTTATCTTTTTTCAAAGTTAAAGATTAACTTAGATATTCTGGACTTTAGTTTTGTTAAACGTGTATCATATTTGTTTATGTATGTTTAATAATTACGTGTTCTGACTATGTAGCACTGGTAGCCTTCCTTTGATCATGGAGCTGATCTGTGATCATAGGCTTTGGTCACATCATATTCCTTATGCTGTCACAAGGTGGTGGTAATAGGGAACCAGAGGAACCAATACAGGTTAATCAGCACAATTCCAATGTTAGAGTTGGTATTCACAGCCCATGACTTAATTCCACCCACACCTGAACTCTTTAGTAAGCTCAGTTTAATCTTATCTTAATAATGAAAGCCATAATAGAAGGTAGTACAACTGAGCACAGTTTTTGTTATTTTAAGTACAGTATTTAGACAAAGGACTGTCCAGTTTCACCTTGCAAATTTTCTTTAAAAACATTGCAAAAAAAACTATACAAAAATAAATGTTAACATTTGCTTAATGCTTAAGCCTTTGCCAAAAATCTTTTAAGTTGCATTTATCTCAGCTGATCATTACCTCCACCCAAGCAGGTAATGTCCCAAATTTATAAGAATAGAAATTGGGAATTAGTAAGCATTAAGTCCAGGACACAAACCTGGATCATCATATTCCAAACTTGATGTTCATTCCACTGACTTGTATGTTCTTTAGAAAAACGATTTCCCATGTGTCCCTCCTGGAATTGTAGGTGTTCTGAAGAGGGGCCCTGGGTTTTCCCTGAGACAAAGAATGGAGTTGAGGCACATGTTTTATTGATTATTTTGCAAGTTTGGTTTCTCAGTAATTTATTATTTTAAGAAAAGGTTATACTGAAAGAAAAATTAAAGCTATTCAGATGAACAACATCATTGAAAAAATTAACCTAATGTTTTTACTGCTTAAAGTTCTCTACTTTCCCCAGATACTGTTTTTTGTTGTGTTTTTTTGTTTGTTTGTTTTGCCTTTAAGTTTATACTGTATTGGGCTTTTCTAAGTGGAAAACAGTGGACTTCATGTATAATTAATGTATTCCAAAGAAAGTACTGTATTCCACAAAGCCCAAAAGATAGACCATAGGAGTTGCCTGTAATGAAAAATACGTATATTGTTTATATATGTGCAATATGCTTATAATCAATAATGAACTGGAGAAATGGGAGTTATCACATTTCTAAAAAAATTTAAAATACTTAGTTTACTGAAAATGAGCAGTTAGAATATTCTAACGCTTAAAACATCTTTTATTTGTTTAACATTGTAACTAAATTCTCATGGAAGAAAGCCGGCTTGCTTTTGGCCAGTATGAATTTCAGATTAGCATAAACAAAAACGGGAAGAAACAAATCAGAAATCCCCAAAGTTCCTGAAGAAGGCGGTGTGCGTGTGCGGCGGCCTGAGGCTTTGGGTCTTGTAGAGCTGGCCCCAGGCTGGCACTGCAGACCCTGCCCTGTGCCCGGAAATCCTGGCTCCACGCTTTGGTATCCCACCATCTGTCACTTGGCAGGACAGGGCACACCACAGACCACTACAACCCTGGGGCTCTTTGGCATGGCAGACAGCAGTCGACTGTGTATAATTTAGGCATCAGGCTGAATAATAAACCAAGCCACTGTGAACTCTTGATTATAGAGCTGACGAGTGAAAAGTCTTACTCCTGGGAGGCCATTGGATTTGCTGCCTTGTGACAGTCTTTGCATGTGTGACTAGGTATAGTTTCCCTCCTGAGTAACCTAACTGCTCACTCAGTGAAAAAAAAAAAATTCTTCCTGTCAGAGGGAAGGTAGGGGAGGGTGGGGGTAAGGGGAAGTGATCAACCAAAGGACATGCATATAAGCCTAACCAATGGACACAGACAACAGGGGGGTGAGGGCATAGGTAGGGGGTTGGGGAGGTAATGAGGGGATGAGGACACATAAGTTATAAAATATATATATAAATATATATATATAAAATAAATAATAATTCTTGATTATGTCTATGTTGTAATAACTTTTTAAAATTATGTGTTTTCTTTTTATTGATTTTGGAGAGAAGAACAGAGAGAGAGAATCATTGCTCAGCCTTCTGCACATCCCCTACTGGGGATCAAGCCTGCAACCCGGGCCTGTGCCCTGACCCAGAATTGATGGGTCGATGCTCATGGTTCATGGGTCGATGCTCAACCGCTGAGACAAATCAGCCGGGCCAAAGTTGCAATAACTTCTTGCACTCACATTAAAATGTATTTTATGAGAAGATCTGAATAGGCTATCTTTTCTATGTGCTTAGAGCAGCTGGTTAAACATGCAAAGAAGAAACTTGGGGTATCAGAAGATGTGCATGGCGAGTATTATCATCCTAGCATCAGGCTGTGTCTGGGTCTGACATATATTTTAAAAGGGTTTTGCCTCTTTTACAGATATCTCCTGTGATGGAAGCAGAAGAATTAACTAATGATATGTTAGCATTAAAGAACATTATTCCTACCCCAGGTGATCTCTGGGCCACATTTGAAGTCATTGAAAATGAAGAGCTAGGTAAGTGATTTTCATACCAGTTATTCTTAAATTCCTTCACTGTGGAGAAATGCTATTTTTGTGACATCATTGCTAAATTTTATGTTATTCTGATGATTAACATTATGAATCCCCTTATGTGTCAGTGCATGTGCTGATATATGTAATTGTCACTTGAGGTTGCCCTCCTATGCTTTTACTCATCAAAATAATTGGATTATTTTATTGACTCTAAAAATATAGTGCAAAGCATTGGGCATCTATGTTGCTGCCTTAGGAAATAAGGCTTTTGTTTATAAGGAAAAGCAATTTCATTTGTAACAATATTCTAAATGTCACCACCACCATCCAACATTACTCCTCTACGCTACTAATTGAACAAAAAGAATGTTGATTTAAAAGATTATTTGTTATTTTAAAAAATGATTTGCTTTCAGACTATTGGGACCCTATTTTGTCAACATTTTTCTTTTCATACATCTCTTTAATGGAGTGGATAGATGTTTTGTCATCTCTTATCTCAGATGTGCAAGTATAAGGAGAGCTTTTAAAACTCCTCAACTACTTCAGTAGTAAAGTGCTGAATAAGCCTAACATTCTAATGACATAGTTTGGTTTCAAAGACCTCTAGGAAAATAAAAAATAAGATGCAGAATGTCTTTGTGCTTTGACCATCTGTCTAGCTGATACCTACTAAGGTCTTGGGACCCTGTCAAGCATAGCTGTCAAACTGCCAACAGTAAAATGTTGCCACTGCAAGCTCAAGATAAAAATGAAAATTCAATGTTGAAATACCCCATCGGGTATTATGAGGAATGTTGTAATCAAATTAGAACAAAATGGGATTATCACATAGTTTCTTTCATTACTCCATTCTTGATGTTTTTATGCCGTCATTTTTTTAAATCATGCACAATTCTTTAAGAATCTTATTTGTAGCTCTGGCTGGTGTTTCTCAGTGGTTAGAGTGCCAACCCATGCACCGAAAGATTGAGGGCTTGATTCCTGGTTAAGGGCTTGATTCCTGGTTAAGGGCATGCACCTGGGTTGCAGGTTCTCTCCCTGGCCCTGGTTGGAGGAGGCCATGGATAGATGTGTCTGTCTCACATCTATGTTCCTCTCTCTCTCTCTCTCTCTCTCTCCCTCCCTCCCTCTCCCTCTCCCTCTCCCTCTCCCTCTCTCTCTCCCTCTTCCCTTTCTCCCTTCTACTCTCTACAAAAACCATTGGAAAAAATATCCTCGGATGAGGATTAACAGTAACAAAAACATCTCATTTGTATTAAAATGTTAATTTGCAATATTCACTGTCAAGAGTCAGCTACTCTGATGCTTTGGTGTCGGTCCACATGCGTCTCCTCCCCAGGCAGGCTCAGCCTTTCCCTCTCACAGAAAGTGTTCTGGCAAATGACTCCCGTGACCACCCACCCCCAATGCCAAGTCTGATGGCTTTGCTTCAGGCTTCACAGCACTTTTCCTTTTTGTGGCATTTATTGTTAATAACCATTCACTTTTTCTGGCCCTCTGATTATCGTCAATTCTTCTTCCTTTGTCTCCTAAATGGTGGGTTTCTGCTGCTCCAATCTCCTTTGCCATCTTTTCTCATTTGACATGTTCTTTATAAATAAGGTTCTTCCATTCTTTGTGTTTGACTAACACGTGTGAGTGGGTGTTCCCTGAATGTTCTTTACTCTTTCTCCATCTGACCTCCTTTAATATGCAGACTAAGGGTGTTAGTGCACTTTGTTCTATCTTTCTTTATAGAGCCCATCACACGGACTCATCTTTTTCAATGGGAGCTCGGACTCATCTCTCTCAATGGGAGCTCATCAGAAGGAAGGAGGAACTCTCTTTTTCTATCTCTAGCATTGGGCACAGTGCCTAAACCGTAGTTTCCATACAATTAAAATCTCTTGCACAAGCGAAGCACAATTTTGCATCACTATATGGTTTAATGGTGGTAGAGTCTTTGATTTTTGATGTTTAATTTTAAGGCGAGGGGCTAGGTTATCAACTTCATCATATTTGTGGATAAAAGGCAACTGTTGGCATTACTGCCAGAATTACCTTTCTAAATCACAAATAGGATCATACTGCTCCATCATTTATTTACTGCTCCATCTCGTTATTTACTCATTGCCTATCCTTTCTGCAAGATCCAGCTCAAATGCCTGTTCTCCATGATGATACTTAGATAAACGTAGTTCTCACTGGTCTTTTTCTGATTATATGCTTGTCCTATATAATAAAAGCCTAATATGCTAAGTGTCCAGTTGGCCATTCAACCAATCAAAGTGTAATATGCTAATGATTTGCTAAGGCCGCTCAACTGCTCGCTATGACATGCACTGACCACCAGGGGGCAGACACTCCGACTGGTAGGTTAGCTTGCTGCTGTGGTCCAGCCAATTGGGACTGAGCGAGATGGACTGGACACTCCCTGGAGCCCTCCCCAAGTCCCTCCCTGTTTGGCCAACCTGTGTCTCTCCCCGACCCTGATCGTGCACCAGTGGGGTCCCTCAGCCTGGCCTGCACACTCTCGCAATCCTGGATCCCCTCAGGGGATGTCAGAGAGCCAATTTTGGCCCGATCCCACGAGGGGAGTGCCTCTCAGCCGGAAGCCGGGCTCACGGCTGGCAAGCACAACGGCGGTGGCAGGAGTCTCTCCCGCCTCTATGGCAGTGCTAAGGATGTCCGAGGGCTCCCAGATCCTCTAGTAGATCTATAATACTGTGTACTGTCTGATTATTGAATAGTAGTATGTATACATCTAGCTCTGCCCTAGACCACCTGTTCTTTAGGACCTTTATATCTCTCACTGCCTCTAGCATAGTGCATTGATGTGGAACACATCCTGCAAATATCTTGTTAACTGAGGTGGCACCTAAAATAGACATATTCTGAACCTGAGTGACCTGGATTGTTGCTTCTTGGACAAATGTATCGAAATGCGGCAGGCACGTAAAAAATGATTTCTGCTTGTAGATGAGCAACTCCTAGGATATCTCAGGGCCCTGATGAGGCCTGAGACAGCAGATTGTCTCCTGCTTGCCACTGTATCTGTTGTGTTTCTTGGAGATCCACCGCACGATTAGGAATCATGGATTTGGGGGTAGGCATCGTCTCCCTACCACCCTGTCCTCTCAAGGGTTGAGTCAAAGCATGCCCCTCCGTCACAGCATGGGGGCCCTGTGTCTTTGGGCATCAGTCCTCCTGAGTAAGAGGAGCAAGCAGAATGCATGAGGGTAGGAAGGAGATTGTAATAAACTTAGAAATATTGTCTTTATATTTCATCTTGGAAAATGAAGGGATTGCTTACCCTGAAAATGACTGAGTATCGGCTTGCATGTGACAATGAGTACATCACAAATGGTACAGTTGGGTTGGGGTGGGGTTGTTGTTGTTATTTTGTTGCTCTTTTGGCTACTTGTCTAATTTTAAAAAAAAGTTACCTTGTTGGAGCTATAAAAAGAGTAGGAGTCCTCAAGTTATTTTGATATGTGCATGTCCAAATATATAATCAAAGGAACACCCCATATACCTCAAGGAAGAATACATTTGATGGAGTGAAGAAGAAAGATTTGGCATGGTTTTAATGTTGGGTCAGCTGTTCAAGTAGAAACGCCAGCCGAGAAAACGAAGATGGTTTTCCCAGCTTTTAGAGGAACAAAGTGAGGAGCGCCACAAAGGGGCCTGTGATTATGTTGGCTTCCTGAAGCAGACGGAGCCATGGCTCCACCTGACCTTCTGAAATGTTAAAAGCTTTATTGCTGGAAACATGCAGGGAGGATAAAGCGAAATATGAAAAGAAGATGAAGGTGAAGGTGCTGGCAGTCACAAGATTGCAGCTGATAGGAGGAGTGTCAGCAGGGAATCGGTGCCTTTTCTAATGTAAATATAAATCCTCCAAGTACGCAGGTAACTGAAGATACATGAATACACGGATAAATAAGTGAACCAGAAGTGCTGGGTTTTACTGTAGGTGTCTGCAAATTTTAAAGCAACAGTCTCTGCCCTGTCATATCCAGTGCCTGCTTTGTATAATAATTATTCTGTAAGATTCGCTTTACTCTCTTGAGATAATCTATTATACTTATTTTTTAAAATAATATAGCACCCTAATGGTAATATAAAATGAGAAAGGAGAATGTGTAGTAGAACATATAACTGCCGACACACTCCTGTATGGTCAGAGGTAATGAAAATGGATTCCACACCTGTGTGAACTTCTCAGGGATGTGCCAGCTCCAATGCAGACTGATGTAAGCATGTCAGTTTGTGGCTCACACATCACTGGAAGCATTGCTATTGTTGGTGAAATGGTGTCTTAGTCCATTTGGGCTGTTATAACAGAATTACACAGTCTGGGTGGCTTATAAACAACAGACAGTTATTTCTCACAGCTCTGGAGGCTGAGAAGTCCAAGATCAAGGTGCTGGCAGATTTGGTGTCTGGAGAGAGAGATCAGCTTCCCAGGTCGCAGAGGGCTGACTTTTCTCTCTTTTCTCACGTGGTGGGAGGAAGCTTTGTGAGTCTCTTTCATAAGGGCACCTGTCCCATTTGTGAGGACTCTGCCTCCCAAAGGTGCTGCCTCCTAATACTCATCACACTGGGGATTTGGTGTCAACCTAACAATTTTTTTTTGCCGGGGGCGGGGGGGGGGGGGACAGACATTCAGATGCTCACAAGTGGTGAACAATTCCTAGAGAGTGCTGACAAAGCATGATCGTTTTCTTCCCATATGGTAGTCAGATTCATGGAAAAAATACATCAGGTTAAAACCATAGAACATATTGTGAGAATTTATAGGCATAAAGCGGAGTTAGAGTCTAGGCTCAGTTATTTATAAGTAGGTTTTCACTCTAACTGCCTGGTGGGACACTTGAAATTACAACATCTTTAATGCTACTGAAATGTACATGTAAAATGTGTACGTAAAATGGTACATGTGAAAAGGGCAAATTTTATGTTCGCTATGTCTTCCTACAGTTAACAAATGGTCGAAAGAACAAAAAAATAATTTTTTTAAAAGAACTGTTAAAAAATTTTGTATTGCCGAAACCGGTTTGGCTCAGTGGATAGAGCGTCGGCCTGCAGACTGGGGGGTCCCAGGTTCGATTCCGGTCAAGGGCATGTACCTGGGTTGCGGGCACATCCCCCGTGGGAGGTGTGCAGGAGGCAGCTGATCGATGTTTCTCTCTCATCGATGTTTCTAACTCTCTGTCTCTCTCCCTTCCTCTCTGTAAAAAATCAATAAAATATATTTTTTAAAAAATTTTGTATTGGATAGAGAAAAAGTCTTCCTTCGCCCCGTCTTCTGAAAGATGGCAAGCATCCTTCACCCACTGCTGCCAATCGTTAGACAAGCTGAAACCCGCCCTGGGAGAGGCTGTTACCTTCATCAAGAGCTTCTCTTCTAAAGGGTGCTTTTATTTTAATGCTTCACCCTACAACTGAGCCTGTCCTCTGCTGGTATAGCCCCATATTCTGTAGGTCCTTGACTTGCTGAAAAACAGTAACTTACATTGAGAAGGGCCTCATTGAAGTGGGCTTTTTCACCGAGCAGATCAAGCTTGTGAGACACTTCTGTGCAGCAGTATCACAGTGAAATGTTTTACTAATTCTTCCTCAGAGCTGCTCTGATACAGAAGATCTGTTCATTGTTCACTGGGGTCCCGTCCAGCCCTTCTCTTGATTGACACAACGTGCAGCCACCCTCTAATTATATGGACAGGACAGGGACAGACTTGCACCACTCGAAGTTTGGCACTAAGACTTTAATTATTGGGGAAGTCATAGTTGTCTCGGGAAATCCTGTGTCATTATCACCAGAAATTTAACCACAATACCTATAATTTAAAGTGAAAAATGGATAGTTCTCGTTTAACAAGGGAGGCCGGGTATTTTTCTGTAAACAAGGTTTGAAACTATTAATAATGTGATTTACCTAGCTAACTTCCTCCATAACCTGTTCTTCTTAAGTAACTACACTGAATTTTCAGCAATTTTTATGCTATGGATAATACATAAATGAGTTATTTCTAATAATAACTTAATGCCAGATCATTTACACACCATATAATCTATCATGACAGATGATTGTGAATGTAACTATACATAAAATTATTTGTAGGCATTCATTTATTCAAATACTTTTTTGGTGGAGTCTAGGTTTTTCTATATAAAGTTTTATGTCATCTGGCAATAGTGACAGTTTTACTTCTTACTTTCCAATTTGGATACATTTTTATTTCTTTTTCTTACCTGATTGCTGTGGCTATGACTTCAAATTATAATTAGTTTTATTTTTAAATACAGTTCAATTGAATTATAACCTCTATTAATAGAAGACTACCAATTAATTATAGCTTTGGCAAATTATGGGCAATTATGATCTTTGCCAAACCTATTGCAAAATTATTTGAAGAAAAGCAAGATTGCTATAGCATAAAATATTTTCTTTAGTTTTACAAAGAATTATATTCTGCCCGTTGATCCACTTACAGATATTTTCCATTAATTATAGTCCACCATAGAAATTCATAAGGTACTTCATTACTCAAATATTTATTGAACATCTATTATATACATACTCTACTGTGTACAGGGATATATTTGTAAACAAGAGGGAGATAAATCTTCAAGATGTGTGGCCCAGTTGCTCTTCTTTCTTTCCCCTCCCTTTCTCCCTCTCTCCCTCCCTTCCTTCCCTCCTTCCTACCTTCCTTCCTTCCTTCCATCCATCCATCCATCATTTCTTCCTTCCTTATTTGAATTGCCATCATCATTGGCTTGCTCCACTAAACACAGAATGCAGAACTGCATTACATTGTACTGAATAGTAAGCAAAAATCTGGTATTTACATTGGAGGCAGAAAATGTGTTTTCTTCTTCTGTGGACCTGAGGTTGTTGATAAGTTCTGGAATGCCTGTGGTCATAGCAGGGCAGACTAGTAACTACACTGAATTTTCAGCAATTTGTATGCTATGGAATATGTTAAGAGGAATATTATCTATTTGGTTGTCATTACTTGTGATTTTATCACCAATTAAAATATCATGGTTCATATGTGATTATGATACTATGGACAGATTCTTTCTTGTTTGTCATTGCCATTCCTACTTTAACCAAAATGAAAATCTCAGATGCTGTGTGCTTTACAGTTAGAAGGGTGTGAAAGAGTTGAATTGACTTACGTTTGGTGATTTTATTGGGGAAGCTACCTCAGCATCTTCCTGTTAGAGCTTATGTTCTTGCTGTTTCAATTATACTATTTTTAGTGTACTGTGAAAGGATTGAATTTTTCCCCCAATAAATGCTTTTGTTGTAACTTTTTATTAAATGATTGGCATATTTTCATCAGCAAAAAACTTTTCTATGAGGCTTTCATTATAATTGTAAAATCTATTTTTTTAACTCAGTGTTAAGAACTTCTCATGCATTAAAAAATATGATTGCCTAAAACAAAATGTATATGGATGAGTATTTATCAAGGAGAAATCTTTACGAGGTCATTAACTTCTGGTTTTTGGTTCTTTATATCAACAGTTAATGTATAATATTGTCACATAATGTTTCTGATTGATGTTTCCACCAATAGTTAAACACAGATTAACTATTAGAATATTGATTGTTTTCATATGATCTCTGTTGAAGTTACATTTTATGATTTTATATTAATTGACTATATGAATATCAGCTATAAGTTGTTCACTATTGATCAGAAATTATAATATGCTAATCTTTAGGATTAATTTATATTATCACTTGCTATTGGACAAGAGTAATTTTGCTAGTCCTTTCACAGTTATTTAATTGCATGTGAAAAATAGACAAATTTCCATACGAAAGCCAGAATGTTGCTTTAAATTCAAAAGAAGGTACTGTAAGCCTGGCCAGTGTTGCTCAGTGGTTGAGCATCAACCTATGAACCAGGAGGTCATGGTTTGATTCCCGGTCAGGGCACGTGCCTGGGTTGCAGGCTTGATCCCCAAAGGGGTGCATGTAGGAGGCAGCTGATCAATGATTCCCTCTCGTCATTGATGTTCCTATTTCTCTCTTCCTCTCCCTTCCTCTCTGAAATCAATAAACATATATTTAAAAAGATAAAAAAAGAAGATAGTGTAAGATACTGATTTGTTATATATAAGGTTAGCATTATTTCTGAAATTTTATCTAAAGGATAGCATCTGTGATTTTTTAAAAAAATCATTGTGCAAACCACAAATGTTCCTGCATAGATTCATTTATACAGTAAATTTTATCATATACTTGTATTCTAGGTGTTAACAGTCTCTTTTATGTAGTCTTAATGCTATATTTATGTAACAAGATATGATTATGCTTATTGTTGAATACAGATTTTTTAAAGGATTTAAAGAATGTGTAATTATAAAAAATGATATTTTAACTTGCTTTGGTTTTACTTTGCAGAGCGCCCTCTTCACTACACAGAAAATGTGTTGGAGCAGGTGCTTCGGTGGAGCTCATTAGCTGAACCTGGCTCTGCTTATCTCGTGGTGAAGAGGTTCTTAACCACCGACACCATCAGACACTATAATGGTAGGTGCTGCTGTTATCTCACATTGCAACTCTGACGGAAAGTTCAAGTGGTTGAAGGATAGTGACTATAGCACAAGTGGCATTTGCAAATGTCAAAAGTAAAAATGAGTAGCTAACTGCAGATCCCGCTGACATAGTATTGTCCAAGAGGAGGAAGAGCAGGTATGTGCACAGGAGTGCCATGTGCCAGAGTCAGGTTTCCTGGAGCCTAGCACTATGGTAATAGTTGGCTCATCTGATGGTACCAAGTTAACGTTTTTGGAAGGAACGGTTTATGATGGAAGAGCTTCTTGCCATGCTTCACTGTTTTTCTGATGTTCAGATAGCTGGTGAACCTTCTTCCTGAATTATGGAAGTTTTCTGGGTATTCAGTGGCTCTCAGGGGTGGGGCAGTATTGTCTCTCAGGGGGCATTTGTCAATGTTTGGAGACACTTCTGACTGTCACAGCTGGGTGGGGTGGTGCTTCAGGTCTTTAGTGGGCAGACAAAAGGTATGAGCATCCTACAATCCACAGCACAGCTCTTTACAACTAAGGATTATCTGCCCCAAATGTCAATGGTGCCCATGCTGAGAATTTCTGATTTAGATCATCTGTGAAATCTGTTCTAGTTCTTAAATCCTGTATTTTTCATTGTAACACTGAGATGAAGAAAAATTATGGAGCTTAGGAACGAAGTCCTGTCAACATTATGAAACATATGTAATAAGTTCTTGTGGTTTCTTTTCTTTTAGAAAATAAGCCAACTTTTCAGGTAAATGTATAGTGTTTTCTGGTGAGAATTTTCTAGTATTTCTCTAAATGTCTAATTCTTCCATGCTGCGAAATACTTGAAACCCACACTTAGACATAATACACTTAGACATAATACCTCAGCTCTTGTTTGAAAGTTAATAGGCTGGCTATGTGAATACAAATAGACAAAAATAGGATCTTAAAAGGCTGTGGTGTAAAGTGAGGTTTTGTACAGGTGGAGTGAAAAGTAATCCAAATAAGGATACCATTACGTTCTGTTGGTCTTGGGGTGGGGGCGAGGAGATAGAGCAGGTTGAGAGCAATGACATTTGAATTAAACTCTTTATGCTGATTAAAGACAAGAAGGATGGTAGTGTGACTGAACATGGGCTCTGCCCACAAGCTGGGTAGGAAGACTGGGCAGTATAATGATGCCCCCCTTACTCCTGTGCCTTCCTGGGGTTGTGAGTGTGTCCTTCTGTTGTGAAAGCATCACGCCTCTGTAAGGTCTAGACCGGCACCTTGCGTAAGAGCTGGAGAACCCCAGAGTGGAGGCAGGCTTACTGGTAATTGACAGTTTTAGGATTTGGATGAAACATTCTCTAGAGTAACTTTGGTGTTACTCTCATGCCCCACTCCTTCCTCGAACAGGGTGGAGCTGAAGCACATTCCTGTCTTGCGCTATTCCTACCTCCATTTACCAAACCAACATGCAGCTTGTTATCATATCTATAGTTCTTCCTACCAGGAAACTGTCTCATTGCATGAATAACATCAGGTTTTAGTGTAACACTGTCAGCAAATACATTAATTGGACCATTTCACATTAGTAGTTACATATTTTGGGTCAAATATACGAGTACCTATGAAGTACATTTTTAAAATACTTTTTATAGTTTTCTAGCCAACAAAATGTGTGTAAATGTTTTTCATTAGAGCTTGATTTATATTTAGATTGCCAAAGCAAAATAATCGCTTTCACTGTGGTGGGTCTGCATCTGTGTGGATTTAGGATGACCCTTTTAAATCAGCTCTGGCCTGTGGTTTGTGTGTGTGCGTGTGTTTTTAAATCAGTTTCTTAAATAATGATTTTTTCCCCCTATACTTGTGTATTACAGCAGCCTGGCATTTAGAAGCACGTTTTATGGGATATACTTGGTGATAGATTTTCGGGGGGTTAGATGTTCAATCTGCTTTGTCTCTGTCTTGACAAATGTCTCCTAAATCAATCACAGTGACCACCAACTCCAGAATCGTTGCTCCGTTCCATACATCCACTTCTTCTTAAACTTGGCATCTGAAAGGAAAATAATGAAAGTAAATGGAATGTGATGTCTTTGTCAATTTGTTAGAAATATTGGCGTCATCTCAGAAATACATTGCTCTTCACAGTAAGACGGAATAAGGTTAAATATTTCTCTCGCTGAAGATTTTCTTTTTCTAAGCTGGGGCCCAAGTAGAAATCAGCTAAGTTTGAAACTAGGGTGGTTGGCTGCAACCACATTCTCTCTCAGTAAAACAATAGCTAATGCGTTAACATTTTTTGAAGCATTGAGTAGCAATAACCTTTGCACTCTGTCCCCGCTAACTTGACACCCAGTTGCCACAAATTTTACTCTCTGGCCACCTAACATTATTCCAACTATATATTTACACACAATAATATCTGTGTGATTTGCATTTTATTAATTGTATTGTTACAGGAGAATTAAACTTCCCTGTCGCTCATAGGAGCGAAGTATAGGTTCTTAGGAAACGGCTGAAAGAATTTTCAGAAGCCCCATGGGCAGATGGGATCTGGAAGAAGGCTTTATTTGCGTGAAGTTAACGTCTCTCGGGTTCCAAAGCCCCTGCCCCTTAAGCCAGTCCTGGAAAAGGTGCAGCTGGGCTCCAGCAGAGCCAGAAGCAAGGCCATGTCCAGAGCTTCCCTTCCACGTTGTAGCCGGTGTGGCTCAGCACCCACACTCATTAAAGTCCATTAGTCCATGTGGGGAGCCGCCCCACACGGCCATGAGCCCTGCCACAGGAGTCACAGGGCCCAGCGTGTGAGAGAGAAGAGCGAGAACTTCCATTGTTTAAGTGTATTCAGGTTTCGTGTGCTTGCAGTGGCCATGCCCATTCTGACCACTAATTTGTTTCTGGCTGTGATGGGCAGATAGGCAGGCACCTTCCCACATCACTCAGACCTGACTGGGCATGGTCCCTTCCCCCATCACTCAGCGGGGAGCAGACTTGGAGAGTGTCAGATGCAGCTTTTTGGCAGAGCTGTGTAAATGGCATGCCTGCCTCTAGTCTTCCCTTTCCTCCTTTCCTGTGAAGTAATAACCAGGTTATTACAACGGCCTCCATGTGATAGTTGTTGTTTTTTAATGTAATAAATTCTAAGCATATCCTTTCGATTGACATGTTTTCACCACCTTCATGCTAAATGAAGAATTTTTATCAAATAATACGTTTGGAGGTTTAGGGGTGTTAGTTTTCTGAGTTTCCTCACTTTTTCTGAACAGTTTAAAATGTAGACATAGCAGTAGGAATAGATTTAGAATCAGCCAACACTTATTTTCTGCTCATTCATTTAAGGTAATGAGGTAACATACTTTGCTTTTATAGAAGTATACTAGAGTAAATGAATTTTCTGTTGCCTCTATTTAAAAATCAATTCTGTGCTTTTCCAAAGCAGCATTTGATTTCTTAGAAACAGTTTGCGCCATTGTCATTATTGTAATGAGGAGTTAACTAACTTGAAAAGAAAGATAATAGTCCTCAAATTTCTTTTCTACCCCATGGATTATGACCGAGACATTGAGATAGGGAGCATAAAACTTCATTAAAATGGCTAAATAGACTTTGTCATAGCTAACCTTATTAGACAATCTTTTATCATTAGCTCTCATATTGAGTTGTTTGAACATCTCTATCACAAGTAAGGCATATATTTATAGCTTCTCTAAGGTTCCAGAATAAATAATTTTATATTGCTGAAGCCTTATTTTAAGTGCTAAAGTTCTTTAAAAATTACCTCCATAGAATGTAATGCATGGGAGTCTAGTTTTAATGATCTCAATGGGGAAGAAATACTTTTAAGATATAAGATGTAACTCAAATGCAGATCCCTGTGGGTTTCTAAATTTAGATTGCTGCATAGGACAGATGCTTTGGAATTAAATTTGCATTAGAATCCAATAGTTTAAAATGCATCTGCTTCCGGCAAGTTCAGACCTGGAAAGCTGAGCCATCCACTATCAACTGACTCAAGAAAATAAAAAGAAAATGTCAGCAGAAATAGTATGAATCTATAAATCATAGTCTAGCTAAAATAATTTACATTCCACTTCCATCAAATCTTTTTAAATCCGAAGGTAAGACCTAGTCCACTTCAAGTGGAAGTATTTTCTTGGGACTTGATGATAGTCTTTGGTTATTCACTGTAGATAGAGTAGGAATGTCCTGACTTTTTCTTATGTTACTATTTGGTACTGAGAAAACCAATTGATAAGTTTCTGTTAGCTCTCTGTTTCATACAGGAATCTGTGGAAAATATAGAGGATTATCTTTTCCCACAAGGAACAGAAAAGCTAAATGTATGAAGACTGTTTAAAAATAAATGTAAATACAAACACAAGATGCTATAAGTGACTACTGTAGGCCAGGATGCGTATGTTTATGCAGAGCTTTCAGGCACAGAAAGGTGATTCAGTTCCAAGGTCATTGACATCCTGAATGTCTCTTGGTCAAGGAAATATCTCCTGTGTAATTTTTCTTGTATGTCTTGATCTTCCATTATAAGACTCTATCTCATTCCTTTGCTCACTAAAAGTACCCGTTGAGTAAACTTTTTAAAAATATAAATGAATAAAACTAATTGAGGAAGTTTTGGACAAAATTTCACTGGTCTGCTCTCTCACTTTTATCTGGGTAGTAAGGGCATGTTTTCTAAGGGAAATTAGCGGTGTATTGTTATAGAGACCACAGTGTGTACTTCTCAGTCTCTTGCTTTGGATGCTTCCTGAGCCATTAAGAACAGGAGCCTAGAAGAGGTTACTATTTGGGTTGACACAGGGGTAGGGTCACTGAATTCTGTTTTGGATGTGTTGGGTTTTACTTGTCTGTGAAGTGTGTCCAGGAGTAGATGTCTGGAAGGGACCTAAGGAAGCAGTGGAGCTCATTGCATGGGATGTGGTTTTAGCCTTGGGAGAACACCAGATCGTGCTGCTTACTTATTACAGAACATTAGAAAGCTGAGTATAGAGTTACCATCATTTGCATGTAAGGGATGGGTGTATCAAGAGAGGCCCATGGTGTATGAAGGAACAATTAGAAAGCTTTCAAGAAAACAAAGCAGAGCAGTGTCACGGAAATCATCAAAGGAGTAAGTTATAGATAAAGAGTGCAGTGTAAAATGGTACATGAGTTCAGGAAAGGCACCCAGATATTTATTATTGTGGTAATGGTGGTGATCATAATTGTGACGATTACTTAGAAGTATCTCAGTATAAAAGACAGGATTCTGCGTTAGATATTGAGACCTGAACTGTGATTCTAGTACACTTGCCTTCTAAACTACATAACCTTGTGAGCCACAATTTTCTCATTTATAAAATGAGATTGTTTGGCTCAGTGGAAAGAGCATCTGCCTGCGGACTGAAGGGTGCCAGGTTCAATTATGGTCAAGGGCACATGCCCAATTGCTGGTGCGATCCCCATTAGGGAGTGTGTAGGAGGCATCTGATCAATGATTCTCATCATTGATGTTTCTATCCCTCTCTCCCTCTCCCTTCCTCTCTGAAATCAATAAAAATATCTATCTATATATATAAAAGCTTAAGCAACCGTTACAACTGAACAACCAGAACAACCGGTCAACCAGTAGCTATGATGTGCACTGACCACCAGGGGGCAGATGCTCAACACAGGAGCTGCCCCCTGATGCTCAGTGCGCTCCCACAGCCAACCTCCCACGGCCCCTCCCCCTAGCCAGCCGGCCCCCATCGGTCCCTGGTGCTAAACTATTCTTAGAGACCTGCTTCTGGGTCGGGGTTTCATACGTAGCAGAGCAGCTCCCTCCCTGTAATCTATTGAAAGTCAGCCCTTGACACAAGGGTCGGCCTCACTCCCATCCTCTCCCTTCCCTGGGGGCCGCCTGCCCACCGCAGTGGTGGCGCTGTGGCGAGGGAAGGCGGGGAACTGCACTGTGGCGAGGCACCAATGGCAGCATCGGTATCCAGCATCCATTCCTTCCGCACCCAGCCCAGCAACTGTTGCCTCCTCTCCCGACCCAGCGAGGACCTTTGGGTTTCAGGCTGGGATGGGGAACCAGGGGTGGGTGATGGCAGATGTGGCCCCTTTTCAGGGGGGCCAAGGGCTGGCTCCCTCCTTGGGGCCGGCAGCCAACCTCCTGTGGCCCCTCCCCCCCCACCCCATGCACAAATTCGTGCACTGGGCCTCTAATATTTAAATAAAAATAAGATGAGATTGTGTTACCTCTACTCCCTACTTCAGAAAGTTGCATGCAAATCACATGACATAAAATACATAAACATTTTGAAAAGTCTAAAATGTATACTAGTTTTATGTAATGTTTATTTTTTTTCTTGATCTTCCAGTTGTAGTAAAACATGTCTTCAAGTCTTTTAACTGGAAACTATGCATGACTATTTTAAAATTGTATAACCTTAACACTAAGAAATTGCTAAAGGTCCAAGTTCTGATATGGTGTCCCACTCTGCATCTTTTGTGGACACCATCTAATATGTGGGCCACAGCAACCTGCAGGACAAGTGTGATTTTTCCTGTTTTATAGGAAAAGCAGGAGTTGACATCATAATGACAGCGTCGTGGCTACTTGGCTTCAATGTTCTTTCTGTCCACTGCACTTCAGGTCTCAGGCAGGCAGCTGATCACTGTCTGGATTTCCAGGAGAAAGTTTTAGATTGGAGATATAGTGATACACTTATACATGATAAATTTATGGAGATAGAGTGATAAATTTATGCAAATACATACAAATTTGGTGTTCTTACCAAAAAGTGTTTTCTAGTAAAATTAGTTGAAAAGACTCCTACGTGTGGGACAATCACAGTATTGCATATGAAATATAGTTGATGTTAAATACTCTACCTTAGCCGTTTTGCCCTGTTACTCTTACCTGTTTTGTGTTGACAGGAATGTCTCGATCACCTTAAAAATTCTTTGATTCCTGTGTCAGAATTCTGGTAGAGGTTTCCCTCTTTACCTGTGTATTTGCATTCTTATATGAGTGCTATTGAAAAGAAATATGAGGCAAGCTGATGATGTAATTTTAAGTTGCTTCATATCCACATTAATACCTATGTATATAGTGACCTTAATTTTACTAGTATATTTCATTTAAACCCACATATCCAAAATATTATCATTTCAACATGTAATTAATATTGCAAAATTGGGAGATTTTTTTAACTTTTTTGAACTGTCTTCAATATCTGTAAGTATATTTTATCTCGATTGAGACTCTCCATGTTTTAAGTGCTAATGGAACAGTATAGGCAGGCCTATGTATTACAGATATAAATAGATCCAGTCGGTGGGTCTGCGACTTGTCCGACACACCCCTGACATGTGCTATTCCCAGAAATTAACCATAGGCTTCTTAATGATAGGAAACAAGTTATTACTTTATAATATCAAAACTGCAAGTATAGAAATGTTTTATATTCTGTTCCAAATAAATGAAAATGTACCTCACTTATAAAAACAATGTACTTTACAGAGAGAAATGCCCTGGAAAGTATCAAAGAGGGAGCCCTGAAAATCAAAGAAGAACCATCTAAAATACTGTCTGGAAATAAATTTCAAGACCGGCACTGTGTTTTACGAGATGGATATCTGATTTTTTACAAGGACTTGAAGGTATTTGCATATGTAGTATCTGACTATGTACACATTTCTGTGTGCGTATTTACATTCTTATCTTATACCTTTCTCAGCCCTCTCTCGTGGAAGTCAAGGCCTGTAGTAAATAAAAATGCAGAGTAAGCTGAGGATTCCTCTCAGCCACTGGACTTGCCATTAATGCACTCAGGAGCGCAGTGAAGAACTCCATATGTGGACTTTATGAGCACCTCACATTTTTTAGGGCAGGGGGTGACTTAAGTCCTAAAGAAAAGTCTTATATGTGTTACATCACCGAGCATATTAGTCAGCATCTCAGTCAATAAAATCAACTGGGAGAGTGTGTCATGCCCTAAGGCAAAAGTGGCTTGAGTTTAGCTAATGGAAATTAATAAATGCAAATTAAAACTCTGATATACTATTTTACTCTTTAAGTTGACTAAAATGACTAAAATTGTAAGAGTGACAACACCTAATGTGGACAAGGACGTTGGTCAACTAAAACTCTCATAAATTGCTGACGGAGGGGTACAGTCACAATCACTGTGTAGAAATGTTGGGCAGTTGTTAGATAAGGTTTTATTAGAGCATCTACCCCTGGACCCAGCAATTCTGTTCCTGGTTATTATGTCCATAAAAGTGTTTGTTCAGGAATGTTCATAAGCAGCTTTATTCATAAAAGCTGCAACCTGGAAAGATTCCAAGTGACTGTCAATATAAGAATGATAATGGAATCCTATTCAGCAGTAAAATAAGTGACTACTCATGCATGCAGCAACATGGATGCATCTTGAAATCCTTGTGGAGTAGAAGAAGCTTCACACAAAACACTACCATCTGAGTCTGTCTGTAAGAATTCTAAGATCCGGCAAAACCATGAATGGTGATAGAAAGTAGAAAGTGTTTTCTGAGGTGTCAAGAAAGATTGTAAGTTCGATTCCCGGTAGGGCACATTTCTGGGTTGTGGGCTCCACTCCCAGTAGGGGAAGTGCAGAAGGCAGCCGATCGTTGCACTCTTAATCAATGTCTCCCATTTCTCTCTCTCTCTCTCTCTCTCCCGGTAGGGCACATTTCTGGGTTGTGGGCTCCACTCCCAGTAGGGGAAGTGCAGAAGTCAGCCGATCGTTGCACTTTTAATCAATGTCTCCCATTTCTCTCTCTCTCTCTCTCCTTCTCCCTTCCTCTCTCTCTAAACATCAATTAAAAATATTAAAAAAAAATATTCTCTATCTAGTTTTCAGTGGTGGTCACATGGGTATTTGCAGTATCATCTCTAATTTCTTGAGATTCTGGTAATACCCATGCAATTATTTTTTTTTTAAATATATTTTATTGATTTCTTACAGAGAGGAAGAGAGAGAGATAGAGAGTCAGAAACATCGATCAGCTGCCTCCTGCACATCTCCCACTGGAGATGTGCCCGCAACTCAGGAACATGCCCTTGACTGGAATCGAACCCGGGACCCTTCAGTCCGCAGGCCGACGCTCTATCCACTGAGCCAAACCGGTTTTGGCTCCATGCAATTATTTTAAATGCTGAATGACAGCAGGACCTGGAGATACTTTTTTATTTTGAATTATACAATTCACTTGAGGTAAACATTGCTTGCATACTACTGTAAGTGTGTGGCACTTCTCTATTTTGTTTTGGTGATGTACAAAGAAAGAACAGGGTAGTAATATCTGTTAATATGTTATGAAGAGAGGATAGTGAGCCCCAATTTGGGGAAGTATCTGTTGAGCTCTCCACACCTTTAACCCCTTTCCCGGTGTGTTTCTCCAGGGAAGCCTCCATGTGTGGCCTTACATAAATCTTAGCATTCCAACTTTGTGTAGACATCTCATACTCACTTTTAAAGACAGTGGGATGTCCAGGCATGGGGGCTAGTAGGACAGCACTGAAGTCTGCAGCCCTTATCCCTCCATTCAGAGGTCTGTCTTATCTTCCCTACTTGAACTCCCACTTCGCCATTCCATCTGATAGACCCAGCAGGGAGTCTGTACGGGTACCAAGATATTGTTTGTTATTCTTCTTCAGATTTTTTTTTTCAGTAGAAGAAGGGTGGAGTTTGCAGAAGTAAGCCACATAAGAATTTGGGGTTAGTGAACCGAACACCAGATTTCAAGGTTCATGAACTTAGGTTTATATTCGTGAGAGTAAACGTTAAAAAGCACAGCTGACTTTTAAGTCTTCTAGGTTGAATTTTATTTGGTTTTCTTCAGGGGTTCACCCACCTTAGTCTTTTTTAGACGGAGTTCCTTCATCCTTGTCCTTCTGTATACTTATGTTGATTAAGAGTCATTTTGTAGTTGGATGGCAAATTAGCATATTTAAAAATCAACCTGAAGTTTTCAGCCTCAATAAGGAACTGATACTCCATTTCTAGAAATCTAGCCATAAAGGAAAAAATATCCAAAATATATATGTTATTAAATTATCTACTATGATTATAAGAGCAAACATTTAATAATAGTGACCAGGAGCAAATCCACCATGTAAATTCCAGGCCTTAGCATTGCTGCCACAGAGGCCATTGGTCACCAAAGCATAATTTTTGATCTTCCTGCTTACTGTTTCTGCTATATTCTCCTAACCTGTGTTCTCTGTGGAAACCAAGTTTTTATTTTATAAACATACTAGAGGCCCAGTGCACGAATTCACGCACAGATGGGGTCCGGCCGGCAGGGCAGGCCAGGGGGGAGGGGCCGCCAGAGGTTGGCTGGCCAGCCTCACCCCTGATTAAGGTGGGGAGCCGATCATAGGTGTGGCTGCCTTCGGGGAGAGGCCTGAAGAAGACCCACTGAGCTTTGGCCAGGCAGACTCAGAGCTGGTATCTCTGTGTGTACATTAGGCACAGCCTGGCACTTGCCTTTGTCTGTTGGTCAAATCCATTACATCGAAAAACTTGTTCCCCTTCTTTTTTGGGGCCCTTGCAACACATACAGGCCAATTGGAAGACGGAGGCCCAGTGGCAGAGCCAGGCCCCACAATCACGCTGAATTTAGGCCTAACACAACTGGGTAGCAATCTCCTAGGAACAGAACACACTGTTTTAGAGTCTTAATTCTCCCCTAACTGTGCCCTGCTGCTCCCCTTTAACCGGGGTAGACTGAACTAAGGAACCAAAGACCGAGTTTCCTTTGAGGTGGATCCACCAGGAGCCGGCTGATGGCAAGACCCCTCAGGCGGCTGCCTTCCCCCCTAAGCTCGGTGTGCTCTGAGCCGGTCAGTTTCTGGCAGTGCCAGGTCCTGGGCTGCTGGTGGGGTGGCAGGTCCACAGGATTTCTCTCCGCCACCTTCCTGGCCTCCGGAGCAGTACCCTCTGGCCCAGCGCACCAGGCGGCTGTCACTAGGGCCGGGAATCAAAGAGCGAAGGAGCCGGCCCACTCAGAGAGAGACCTGTAGGTGGCCAGGCAGCACCCCCTACCCCGCTTCTCAGTCTCGCTCGCTGGATCTGGCCAAAGCCTGTTGCCTGAGACTGGCGCCATGTGGGGAAGGTCGCAGCAGAGAGAGGGGTGCCAGCCTGGTGATGATCATCTCGGTGCCCAGCTGATTGAATTCGTCCCACAGAGCCTTCATCTCAAGCTGCATGCTCACGCTGGTCGCCTTCGCGTTCTTCTTTACTAGAACCTTCGCGGCCGCGCAACTGGCCCCAGGGCCCTCGGGCTCTGCAGCGGTGCTGGTGGTGGCCCCTGTGGCCAGTGTGTCATAGCAACCGGTCGTTCCACCTTAACAGTTGCTGGGCTTTTATTATATAGACTAGAGGCCTGGTGCACAAAAATTTGTGCACTCAGGGGGGAAGGGGGGGGATCCTCAGCCCGGCCTGTGCCCTCTCGCAGTCTGGGACCCCTCGGGAGATAACGACCTGCTGGCTTAGGCCTGCTCCCGGGTGGCAGAGGGCAGGCCCAATCCCTAGGTGCAGCCCCTGGTCGGGCTCAGAGCAGGGCCGATTGGGGAGTTGGGGCGCCACCCCCTGTCATGCACA